GTGGTAAGTATTTATTTTAACATTTTCAGCAGACATGACATCACCATATTATCGGCATTGTTTCATAATCGTAATTCTGAGATATCTTGTTACGGTATATTTCAGTGTTCAAAGTTGCTACACGAAGTCAAAGTGTTTCCCTTGTATTAATTGTGTTATGTGTATCGTTATCAGTACATTGGTCATGTACGCAAAAATCAAATCCTTCGACAATATCAAGTCACAGTGGTGCAGTGGTTAGCGCTTGTGACCAAAGATCTGAAGTATATTTTATTCACTTTCTGCGATGTTGTCACCTCGAAGTCCAAGCACAGAAATGAATAGGGGCCCGTCTCTGAGCCAGCTTATATGAAACAGACACCAAATATGGACAAATATGGCGTCTGGACTCTTCATAGTCAGTAGAAAGCTCCTTTATTTTGCACTGTCAGCTTTAACAAGTTGATTAATAAACCTTGTGGTGTGTTAGAATCGTAAAATGTGTGTTAAAATGATATCAAGCGTCCGAGTGACCCAGACAGCCGCGCCGGCGAACTGTAAAATATTAGTTAGTTTTTAAGATGACATTTAACAAAATTTGACCTGGATTTAGATCGATAAGATAGGTTACTTACGTCTGGTGTCATTTTTATAAAGGATGCAATGCAGTTATTCACAAATTATCCCATACTTATCATTGCACTATATTTTGTATTCGTGGAAGGATAATAGCGCGGTTCGCTGGCAGAGCTAAAATTAGGAGTGCCTAGTAAACATATCCTATCGCACCTTTCAGCCGGCTGCGCCCCGCGCTTCGAACATTGTGCTGTGTTTTATTGAATTGTTCAATGAATGACGCACTCGTTCACTTCCGACAGCGAGTGAAAATGCATTATATACGAAAAGCAAACAGTCTCGCAAAACACCTACACGCAGTAACGGGTCACGTCGTTGACGCCCCATTCATGCCCATCAACGAAGAAGGCGGGGCTTATTCTTATTACGGAGATGCCAAAATGCAACAAAAGTACGTAGCGTAGTGCGCTAAACGGCGTGTTATTTTCGTTTTTGTGCCAAACTCTCGTAGGAAACCGTTCTAGCCTAGCAGAATGCCCTAGTTCATGAGATCGGCGATTCCATGCTCGAATAGTATTGTACTTAAAAGTTAGAAGATAAGGGGAGCGGCGTAGACTGTGATTGGAAGACACAAAGTGTCAATCCTCGGCGAGCCTCGGTATCATGGCCGCATCACGTCCAGTGAGACATGATACAAGTTTGCGTTGCACAGCTTGGCTGTTAGATCATGAGGCGCTGAGCGGCGCCGACAACACGCGCTGTTCCGCGGGATATATGCGCACGCGACCGCGGAGATGTTCAAGTATGAAGCGCTGCTCGCAGTGGATACGTGTGCCACATTGTAGGCCCGGCGCACGTATCCACAGCGGTCAGCGGATGATCTTGTGGTTTTATAAAATAGCAAAACATATACCCGGCATGATACACTGTACATACTGTGGCGGTGGTACCGGTTGCCGCAAGCCGTGTGCTTGCAGGGGTTGAGCTTGCCCTTGGGGGGGATTAAATGTTGTGTTTGTAATCGGTTCTATGTTTGTAATGTCTTTCTGTGTGTTTCATGTGTGTTTTGTACAGTGTTTTGTAGCGTATCGCAGCAATTACGCACTGACCGCCCGATTCTATGGGGGCTGCCATTAGTTGCGGTTGTAACCCCCTCTAGCGACCGAGAGCGGCGCTAGCGTAGGAAACAGTAACCTACCACCAGGCTGCCACCAGCTGCTGCACCAGGGCTGTAATCTAGGCGTTAACGCGTTGACCTTATGTAACCCACACGTTCGAACTGCGCTGCATGGCGACGATGTGTCTGGAAAATCGGCAGATAACGGATAAGCCCTATAATAATAAAATAATAATAAAATAGCAAAACATATACCTATGATACACTGTACATACTAATTCTGTTACGCTTGCAATAGGTCTTTTAGTTTTGGGCAAGGGCGGTTTGGGTGATGGATATCATATATGTATTTAATACAAAATACACACCACACACCTGCAACCCTAGCCTACTACTAATATACGCCGCACCCACGCGGGTACTTTCCGCGGCATTTGTTCCGAAACTCAGGGGTTCTGGCTTTCGTAGTCCCCCTTCCGCCATGTTGGATTTTTTCCGATTACACGTGAGCTCACCGGCTCTATGATCAATCGTCAATTTACGACGTTAGCATCTCACGCTTCATGATCAAATGTCACTCTCCGTGTTCGTCCTTCCTTCCGATCCGACTTCTGACACCATGTAAGTTTTGTTACTTCATATTTATAGTCTATAACAGTACTTTGTTATGACAAGACTGGAACACGTTTCATTGACTGTACACACCCGCGAGCCGATAGCCGGCGACCCCTATTGGAATGCATACACAACTCTGGTCACATAACCACGTATACACAAAGCACGGCGGCCAATCTACAGTAACACAAACACGCGCTCACACACCACACACCTGCAACGCGTTCGAACTGCGCTGGCGAGTGGCGACCATGTGTCTGGAAAATAGGCTGATAACGGACAAGCTCTCGGCTCAGCTCGCTGCTCTCTGCCGTGCACGCCGTATAAGGAATAATGGAATAATACAATTTCCAAGGAAATTCAAGGGTGCAGCATGCTAAATAGCACGTGATTTTTGTTAACAAGCCACTAGCTATCGATTAAGACAGTTCGCGAGTAGATTGATGCGGCAGAACGTTAGATCAGCGATTTCCCGTCGAAATACATTAGATGTAAACTTTGGTGATGAGGGGCTGGGGGCGATGCCTGTTTAAGCGTGGCACTGCGTGCCAATCATCGGGCTGCGCCCTGGTTTCGTCGCCCATCACGTCCAGTGAGACATGATACAAGTTTGCGTTGCACAGCTTGGCTGTTAGATCATGAGGCGCTGAGCTGGCTGTCATGAAATTTCGACCCAACCACCTAGGAATGTACACAAGCTTCGCCTTTATCTCCATTTTCACACATGTATCAAAGCTTCCCTTTATTAGTTCGTTTTTTCTTAATTTTATCGTCCTAACATGGACCAAAGGTATCAAAGAAAAATTCAAACGTGCAACTGACAGCAAGATATATCAAATTACATGTACTAACTCTATAGAAGCCAAGTCGAACAATTATAATCCAAACGAGAGCAAGTGATCGCAATATTATGGGAACACACCTTTTATGTTATACATTATATTACATTACAGACATAACAATTCGACATGTAACGAATATGCATGACCGTCTTGGCCAACGCAGACATGTGCCATACACTGTAGCACAGACAAACTGATAGTTACCTCTATACAAATGTTACCGATTTACAAGTTTGCAAGCAGACCCCATGGGTATCAGTCACTAACAAACGTGGACTGTATCCAAATTAACCACCAATCATGGTTAATCAGATCCTATTATAAACAACAACAACTGTAAAGGTAAATACAATGGATCTACTGTAGGAGTCAAACGAAACAAATAATTGGTTTATTCTGTCATACACTCTTTTTCCACTTACATCAATATTTACACTTTGCAACATGGACAAGTTTAATTTTAATTTTTTTTATTTAAATCACGGTTGCAGCCTGATGAAATTGACCGTATATTTTCCTACTCTAGAATGGTACGTTGTATAAAAGTTACAAAAAAGAATTTTGATAATAGGGTGATAAACACACCACATAAACAGCAATCCACTTACCGAGCAACCCTTTAGTTTGCATATAATGTTGACATCTTTAATAACGTCGCTGAGAAGCATTCCTTTAGAAATATTTTAGCCTTATTTTAATCATACAGCTTAATGATTGTAAGTTTGCAGCATACAGAAAACCTGATAAAAAAAGAAAAAGTTCGAACTGGGAATGCTGAAAAGGAAAATTTCAAATAATAGCTTTGCAAATATAGCTGGAAAATTCAAAATATCCATTTTGTATTAAATTAGAAATGATTCGATTACTGCCTAAAATGGGTTATAGATTACAAACCGACTTCATTAAATCCAGATTTGGGGCTAATGACCAACTAGCTCTTTCTTACCTATGGTACAACATCAATAGCTGAAGGTTACAGCAGAAACAGATAATTATGTTAGTATAACGTTTTTTTTGGCAATTACTCACGCACCAGCTGTGACACCTTTAGTCCGAGCCGACGCAGACCCCAGTAATGGGGATAAACCCGCACTCTCAGATTAGCAAAGCGGAGTTATAACGTCTGCATTTGCGGACTATGACACCTTGTGCTTAGCCTATCTCACACTTGTGACTGAAAGCAACTGAGAGCAAACTGGTTTTTACAACTAGGAGCATCAAGGCAAGGTCAGATACAAGTTTTTCCAGAGACAACTGTGACCATTAGCAATGGAAAAACCGCTAGTTGACACGAGTTACCGATGTTCGACTTTCTTGCAGCGGAGTCGACTTCTTCCGATCCAGAAAGATTTCAGAAGTTGCACATGGCATTCTAGTCTCTAGAGTTAGCCTGAAGCTCCAAGTTCAGTGTACACAACAAAGGCGCAAGTTGTTGTAAATGCATTTGAATTAGACTAGTCTTTTTGTTGCAAGACTTGCGGCAGAATGACAGTGGTAGTAAAAACCACGATCATTACACTACAGCCTCTCACATGCCAACAGCACCCTAAAAAATTCACCTGCTGAAATCTCTTGCAAACGCCACCTGCACATGGCATTGTGCTGCCACCTACCAGTAAACACAGTAAACAAAAGTACAGACAACCCAGTGGTTACTTCACCTGGCCTTACAGCAGCCAAATGGCCAGACATAATGCCTATCACATTTACTATCTACAATTCTACACACAACACTTACAAAAATAGTATTTTCAAAAAATCATACTCAACTTATTGAAATAAATGAAATTTGATAAATAGTGAATATCGATGATATGGATGATAAAATGTCGAAATATTACAAGTGGATTCCGATATAAAAGATGAGTCTCCGCTTCGAAATTCAAACTAGTAATGAATTGCGACGACGGCTCCGCAGCGTCGTCGTACAAAACAAACCCTGCGAGATGTTCTCTGCACAAAAATTACTTTCACGCCAACCAAGCAGACACCAGATGTCTACAGCTACCACGACACACATTCGCTGGCCACCAGTCTGTCCACTGATCCCACTCGGCTAGTCACGCGTGTCTGACGCAAGCGAGCACCCACCTAGCCAAAACGCGCCGGCAGCATTAGCAGCAGTATTTCAGTCGCCACGTTCTTAAGGTGCCATGTACATTGCTACACAAAGGGAACAGTCCATCCACCCCGTGCGCTTCGAGAATTGCTCTGCCTTTCTAGGAGAGCCATGCCCTGCTCTGGCGCGAGAGAGATATGGGCGTGGAACAGGTGCCTGCCACGCCACGTTGCAGGCGCATTCGCCACTAACCCGACTACACTGCCCAACGAATTACATCACGAATTGAGAGACGGGTGTTCGACAGTGAACGCTCGCAACTATTAAAGAAGCGTTGTTTTGTTTCTCTAACATAAGACGGGGTGCACCGACAGTATTCACTCCGACATGGGCAAAAGTAGTGGCCACTATTGCATGCCATCTTCTACGAAAGAGTAAAAGCTTGTTCCCACACTCACACCCCTCACTTCCATCACCACATGGGCCAATACGTGACGCTGGGGTTGGTTGGACGGGGTTACGCGTGGGAGAGCGAGCGCTTGTTCCGCAACGGTACGGTGTCCTCACCTGGAGGGCAGGAAGCTGCTCTAGGTGGCGCCACGCTCACGCGATCAGCACCTGGAAAACAAAAACACAAGAGCGGGCGTCAGTCGACGAGTACACACGTACCTGCAAGTGGTCTTTCTCCCACATTTTACACGAGCTTCACGACCTACGACGCACAGCGTCGTCGTGCCAACGCTCCTCTCCCTGCGATCGGTGGGTCGGATTCCACGTGCACACTTGTTACTTCGCCAAGCATGCACAGGCTATTAAAACAAGTAAGCGTTGAGCGTACGCATGCCGCGCACTAACATGCTATGTCTGCGCGCACGCAGCATTACCACAGAGCACTGTGTATGCTAACAGACAAAAGGGAGCGCCCGCTTCTACGTGACATCAAGCTACTAACTATACACGACACGGGAAAACGTAAGAAATCATAGAAGACACTGAGACGGTCTCACGCCACTATGCAAATCAACAAGGTACGGGGCGTGTCGGTTAGTAGATGCTATCTACGGCTCAATTCATGTTGTTCAACAAGCAGTAGTCATGCTGAATGGAGGTGAGCAGTAACGACAACAAAATCTACAAGACGATTAACTGATATCTGTGCTGGCACAGAACCTTTGTTCACGCGACTATAACTGGACTTCGGCAGGTTTATACGACCCGTCAAAAAGTCACGAGAAATCCCACTCCCTTAGAGGGAAACAAAATCAGAAACAGGCGCTTTAGAAGAATACAAAACTCCCCCCGTGCTGTACTAATATGCACTGTAGCATTTTGATCGCAATCTCCTCCCTTTTTTGCCCAGAAGGCATGCTCTTTACACGGCTGTTTCAAAAATTGTTCGTGGGATGGGGTTGATTGGGAGGAGAGGGGCGATAAAAGCCGCCAAAAAGTGGGGGGGAGGGGTTACGGCACTTCAGTCTGCATTCAAAGAAACAGCAGTTTGGGAGCAGCCACGTTAGCTTTTGCGTATCGCGCTGACGACTTGCGGCGTGGGAGGGGGAGACACGCGCCACGCCCTCGCGCGCACCTCCCCCCCTCGCCGACAACGTCATCACTGAGCGCGCGCATCGCCGATGCAGGATTCGCCAACTCTCTAACCAAAAAATCGCAATTTCCGCGTGGCGGCGGGTTTTTTTTTTGTTTGTCGTTGTTTCGACAAAACGAGGAAAAATTTTTGAATGAGAAAAAGAGACAAAAATCACTACAGTGGATCGTACCCCAGCACAGAGAGACAGTAGCATTACACTCGCAGGATCTCCAGGCAGTTGTTATAGCAGATGGCTATCCAGTCCGGCTGCGTCGAAGCCCACTGTATCTGGTTGATCTCACCCTCGGCCGTGTAGGCTAGGATCGGATCTTCTATTGCTCGCGGCATCTGCTGTATGTCCCAGATGAGCGCTTGGTGATCATCGGCTGCAATGGAATTAGCAGACGGTCACAACACGGCCCTGTCAGATCTCACAAACATATATTATAAATATAAATATATATATATATAATAGAAGTAACATATATTAGAGGTAAAAACATAAGAACACCCATGTAGATATGAAAATAAATGTAGAAAAATAGAACAGGGTGTTACAAATTTAAATCAGCAAACAAATTTTGAGAATGATCTCTCTTCATAAAGCTATAAAATGACAACGTTTGTTGTTAATGGTTGTCATTTTATAGCCTGATGAAGACAGCTAATTCTCGTAAGCTTCCCAATTAAAATTTAACACCCTATTCTATTTTCCTACATTTATTTTCATATATATATATATATTTGAAATAAAAATTTAATTTTGGTTTTTATAGCATATTTATGTATAACTATTTATATATATAAATATATAAATAGATATATATAAATATGCCATGAAAACCAAAATTTATTTTGAAGAAATGGCTGGAATAGACTGAACTGATGATAAAGGCGTAGCGAGCAACACTTACCTGCTGTACACACGTGGCATGAAGAATGTGGCGCCCAAGCAATGCCATTCACACACGCTCTGTGATTGTTCAGCCTAGCTACTGGAGTGCACGGCACTCTTACATCAAGAATTATCACCTGAATGAGAGGGAACTTGTGAAAATATTACCAAATGCCAGACTTGTACATGTCATCAAACACAAACCTAAACCCTTAGCTTACGATTTATTTATGCACACATCTAAGGCTATTTTAATACACCAAGCGGTAACGGTGACAGTTGGTATCTACTGGTTCACATTAGCAATGTTTGATCTTAACATATATTATAAACTAATCAGTTATTATATCGAAACTCCATGCTGACTAACGCAGCTAAAGTGGCATGCCAGTTATGGTACGACTGGGATAGTATATATATATATACCACTTGATCATTTAGTTAAACGTGATAAGGTACAGGTATTGCTAACAGCACCCACCTCCATTCCATCCATGGCCATCGTAGCTAGATAGTTTGGATCCTGCTTGTTCCAGGCTAATCGTAACAATGGGTGATGGACTGGATCCTCATAGATGATCGTGGAATGCTCCAAATGTCGCAAGTCAAACATGCGAACCGAACCATCAGCACCTACAACAAATGTTGTGGTGCCATCTAGCGGGTGTTAAGTAGACTACCCTATGCAGTTAACAAACGTATTTGATCTCATTGTTGTTCAACGACATCATAAATGTACCTTAGTTCAGCAAATAAATATTTCATACTATATCATATATTTAAATTACTATTACTTTTGTCACAATTTAACCAGTATAATTAACTCCATTGATTATTCTGGCAAGACACCACATGGAATACAGCACACTTGTTAGTTATATATACACTTATATTTGACAACAAAGATGTAGCATCTACTTATATACTAATCAATCAGGTATAATCGATGCCAATATACAGATTTTAACACAATAAAATATACTTTCATTCATGTGATCACAGTAGTCTGGCTAACATTCGTGCTAGGCATGTATGCTCTTATGGATTTATACACAGCCAAGGGTTTCTTATTAAAAAAGAGGCAAAGTGGCACACCGCCGTTGTCAAATTTAACATCGCTGTTGTTCCCGCTCTCCCTCTCTCCCCCCGCGTCCGCATGCGTGCCTACGGCACTCCTTTGAATCCATCATGCGCGTTTTCCCCCAAACTCGCCATTACCTCCTTTGTCTCAATTTTCCCTCAGAAGAAATCCTGCAGACGTTCGAAAGAAATACTGTGCTTACAGCTCCTAAGCTAAGTGAATCCAACAAGACAAATTATTTTTTTACTGATGAGTCTAATACTTTTTACGAAAATGGCTTGCATACGTTCATTCGATGTTTGTCTAGCTAGTCATTCAAGTTATTATGTTTTAACCCTTTGTTGACTAAATAAATAATAGAAGAAAGGAGACAGAATATGCTTACCGACGCTGGCAAACATGTCTCTGCCTCCGCCGGCACGGCTGAAGGCGATGTCATACACTTCCTTGTCGTGAGCAATGAGTTGAGTCTTCACGTGTCCAGACACCAGGTTCACGTGACCTAACACCTGCCCCGTCTAAAGCAATTATACGATAATATTATATAGTACAGTGTAGCCCCATTATAACGCTATGGTTGGGGTCCATAAAATGTCATCTCGAAAAAAGCGGGGTCGCGCTAAATCGGGGTTATATATATACGTGGCTATATAAGAGCAAAAAAGGGGGGTACAACGACTCATCGCGTTATATCCGAATTTGCGTTAATTGGGGGCGCGTAAAATCGGGGTTCCACCGTATAAGATATTGTAAGCGATTAAGTGATAAACGGCTTATATACCAACTGTATCGCTTATTGCATACTATGCTATTAGATAGTCAATGTAGAGCTGGATTTACACTACCGACTTTATGTTGTCAAATTGGCGAGTTGCACCAATTTCGCAATTCGGCAACACCGAGTTGGCGAAAATAGAACATGTTCTAATCTCTATTTGCTGTTGACAAGTTGCTCGTGCAACTTTTGCATTTACACTGCCGATTGTCGGTTGTATAGTTGGGAAGTTGGTCCAATTTGCCAATTTGACATCATAAAGTCGGTAGTGTAAACCCAGCTTAATATTACTCACACATAACTCTTAAATGTATGGAAGAGTTTAAAAGTAGAGTTACTGACTACAGCACCACATCAATAGAGCCGTGCAAAATGGTAATCAGACAAATTAGAGCCATGGGTTGGCAACTGACATACTTCAAGACCCCATATTGTGCATGTGGTATCTATGCTTGAAGTTCCCAGAAGATTTGGGTCGACTTCATTCCAGTCAAAAGACGTCAACGGAGCACAGAAGTCCGAGTTCTTGTTCTACAATAGAAGGGCATCAGTAATCAAATGAAGTATATAAATAATCAGTCCAAGATACAAGACTTATCCATCTCCCTCCCAAAATAGAGGAGAAAGTGATTTTTACACCACACATACAGTGTACATACATAATAATACTCCACATATTCACCTTATGTTTCCATAAAGGTAAGACCACATAATACACTGACAGTTCAATAAATAATGACATCAGCAATCATAGCACCAGTTAGGGATATATCCCGACATGAAAATGACCGGTAAAGAAAAACACTGAAAACCCCCGAGGCCGGGGGGGGGGGGCCGATGCGGGGGGGGACCCCCTCCCGACCGGTAGGGAGAGTAGTTTTTAATTTTGGGGGTCAGAATCAGAGGCGCCGGAAGTGGGGGGCGGGGGGGCCGCCTCCAATCCAAAAAGTGGGGTGGGCAAAACCAAAAGCCCCCCCCCAAAAAAAAGAAGAGTGGGAAAGAAAAAATAAAATGTATGAGCTAAGACTGTTACAGTAATTATAACGCTTCAAAAATAATTTATACATCCATTTAAGTTTTCGCTGCACGCTTTGCGTGATTGACGCTCACGTCGCACACACGCGCTCACGCACACACACACGCTCACGCACACACGTCACACACATGCGCTCACGCACACACGTCACACACATGCGCTCACGCATACACGCGCTCACGCACACACGCGCTCACGCACATACGTGCTCACGCACACACACGTCACACACACGCGTTAACGCACACACGTCGCTCACGCACACACGTCGCACACACGCGCTCACACGCTCACGTACACACACGCACACATGTCGCACACACACGCGCTCAACGCACACACGCGCTCACGCACACACGTCGCACACGCCACACACGTCGCGTACACGGCACACATGTCGCACACACGCGCTCCACGCACACACGTCGCACACGGCACACATGTTCGCACACACGAGCTCACGCACACACGTCGGTATACACGCGCTCACGCACACACGTCGCACACACACACGCGCTCACGCACACACATCACACACACGCTCCGTCACAACATGCGCTCACGCACACACGCGCTCACGCACACACGTCGCACATACGCCGTCACGCACACACGTCGCACACACGCGCTCACGCACACACGTCGCAACACCCGCTCATGCACACACGTCGCCACACACGCGCTCACGCACACACGCCGCACACACACACGCCGCACACATGCGCTCACGCGCTCATGGCACACACGTCGCACACACGCGCTCACGCACACACGCCGCACACACACACGCCGCACACATCGCGCTCACGCACCACGCACCACAACGCGCTCACACACACGACGCGCTTACGCACACACGTCACGCACACGCCTCACGCACACACGCGCTCGACGCACACACACGCGCTCACGCACACACCGCGCTCACGCACACACGTGCACCAACGCGCTCACGCACACACTTCCACACACCGCGCTCACGCAACCCGCCACACGCACACATGTCGCACACACCGCGCTCACGCACACACGTCTACGGTATGGGTACTAGTCTAGCTTGCCGCCAGCCGCAGTAGACGATCGATAAACCGTGCGCCTGCATGTACATATGCCCGTGGTTAGATTACGAATGCTGCACGCAAACCGGAAAAAAACGGAAAAACGCGGAAAAATTCTGGGATCGGGAAAAAGGCGGAAATCCGCGAAACGCGGAAAATTTCATGCCTGTATATCAGGAGTAGATAATAGGGAGGAGTGTACATCAATAAACCAAGGGAAATTCGTCACTTTACTAGCCTTATAATACCTACGATTTACTACCGTAACTCATCCAACTTGAGCTCAAATCGGACACAGTACTTCGCCTATCATCGTGCGAAATCGTTTCCTCGTAGACACCCGCAATCCGGAGATACAGCCTAAACCGTACGACACGATTCTCCATTCTTTGGCCATCAATCTAACGCCATTGCGCGCCTATAATTCAAACAAAAGGCACTACCTAACGCGCTAATTGCTAACTCAGCGACGGCATGTGGCCTCGCTGGAAGATTAGGCATCAACACTCGCGCGAGATAACCTTTGACCGCGGTACACAGCTACACAGGCCACCTCTGTACATAGCTGGCATGCCTTCACGCCACGCACGCCAACCGCATGATTAGCTCGTCGAGTGTTGCGTCATGCCATCTCCCTCGAGCCACAAACGCCACATTCCGCATTTCCGAGGAGCAAACACAGCGACTGCGCGGCAGTGTTTGCGCCTTGTCTGAATTATAGGCGCGCAATGGCGTTGGATTGATGGCCAAAGAATGGAGAATCGTGTCGTACGTTTTAGGCTGTATCTCCGGATTGCGGATGTCTACGAGGAAAGATTTCGCGCGATGATAGGCGAATGTACTGTGTCGATTTGAGCTCAAGTTGGATGAGTTACGGCGTAGTAAATCGTAGGTATTATAAGGCTAGTAAATGACGAATTTCCCTTGTTTATTGATGTCACACTCCAGTGACTCCTCCCTATTATCTACTCCTGCTGTATATCACAAACATCAATATTTCCAAGAAACATACATAGTAAATAATTTCTCTCCCCACTAAAACTCCACAACATAAAATGTTGATTTAAAATTGTAATCTGTCTCTGTTAAACTGTATCCCTTATCGACACTAATATTTTTAGTGTCTAACCTAGTATTTGAAGGTGCAGAGGTAGTTTTGTGACAAAACACATGTATACACAAATATATATATATATCACAATAAGAGGCAGGGTGCTACAAAAAAAAATTTATCGGGCAAGTAGGTTATGAAACTGGTTGCCCGGAGGCAAAAGTCACTTGCCCGGAAAACATAAAGAAATACACAAGATTTTTTTCCAATATGAATAAATAAAAAAATAAATAATGGTAAATAAAGTAAATGAAGGTCCAACTAGTCAACATCCAGCATTTCACTTAACTGCACGCGGTAGAAAGTTGAACAGCTGATACGAGTTTGTATACAAAACATATTCATGTTATGACACAGCACGCAGATTGTTTTAATTTTTAATTTTTTTAAGTGTCAGTTTATTATCAAAAACCCACCACTCTCACAATAAATTAATAAAATATGTTCAAGTTTATTTGGGGCTGGATCGTAAGCGCAGAGAATATATCGGTGCATGCAGCATGAAGATATAACAGACTGACAGTGACAGCACAGTATATACAGTCAGGGTTCTCCAAGAGCACTTATAGCCTGGCGGCCCGCCAGACTATCGTCGAGCCTCGCCATCCTAAAATGCACCCGCACTCTCATATCATAGCCGCACTCTAAATATCATAGCGCCTGCTAAATATCATAGCCGCCATGCTAAATATCATAGCCGCCATGCTAAATATCATAGCCACCATGCTAAATATCATAGCCGCCATGCTAAATATCATAGCCCCCGGACCCCCCTAGCACGCAAACGGTTTAACCGCCCTCGGCGATTTGCAACTAGGACCGTAAAGGCAGCACCCGCCATGCTATAATGAAAAAGCTTGGAGAACCCCGACAGTGTATCTGTTTTTGTGTACTTCAGCAGAGAAAATCCTCGTTCACAGGCTGCAGTAGAGGGGCAAACATTTGAAGTAGCTGATCACGTAACGACCATGCCTGGACTGGGGGCCAGATTTACATGTTGCAGGCTTTCATTTTTAAGGGGCGCGATCGCGCTCGCGCTCTACCGCGCACCCGAAATTGTGCCATGGTGCGTGCATCATCGCGCCTCATAAAAATGGTTGAAATCGCGCACCAAGAGTATGTGTATTATGTTGAAATAGCTCTCCATAGAGTTAGCAATGTAGGGGGGGTATAAAAAGGTTAGCAACACATAACAATTTGTGGTGTGTAAGTAACTGAACGTATGGAAGAGGTACAGGTTACTACTTTCTGGTTTATTACAACTAGACAACAGCATCCAAATACAGGTACCTACACGGTAGCCACAAGTTACCTGCTCGTTTCCACTATACGTGGCGATAAGTGGTTTTCTGCCGACGTGAAACAGTCATTAGGGTTGGAGGGGCTACATACGTGGCTACTACGTACAATTAATTTGGCTAGTTTGTTGATGGATTGTGATGAGTATTTCGTGCTGAAATATGCAGGTACAGGATGAAAATCAGAATAAATAAACAAGTTTATTTTACATCGATCAACCTCTTTTATTAATCTGTGTGCTAGTGTTGGGTTGTTGGATGAAAAGAATGTAATCATGACGAAGCCATGAATGAATGAAGGTGAGATGAATGATAATCAGTGGATTGACATGACATCCCAATTTTCGTTTTGGATTTCACTCTAGCCTGAGGATTGTCATGATCCTCTCATCACACCCAAGAGGCATAGATGAAGGAGAGCCTTCAAGGAGCTCTCCATCACCCCTTTAAGGGTGTGATTTTTAGTGGAGCTCTCCATCATGCCTCTTAAGGGTGTGATTTTTTAGTGGAGCTCTCCATCATGCTCTTAAAGGTGTGATTATGGAGCGTGAAAGGACCCCCTATGGTGTCCTAGGGGAGTCATTAGTAGTCCTCCTGTAATTTTCAAATCTGAAAGCCTGATGTTGATGTGTGCATGTTGTGTACATGACTGTATGCACTGATTGTTTCATTCTCATTGTGTTTTTTTCATTCAAATCTGGTCGCAGCAAGGCAGCTTATGTCTGTGCAAAACAATGCAAGGAACGGAAACAGAAAAATATCATTATGTCTAGACATTCAATAAAAAAAACTTGCTTGCTCCCCCTCAGCAAGTGCAATTTCAAGCTAATTGCGGGGGCGATTTTGGTTGCGCCGGGGCCATAGAGCAAGCGGCTTTGTCGTGCCCTGATAAGAGGAATAATAATTTTACAGTAATACCAGTGCTCGAAATAAGAAAAAAAATGTGTTTGTCCTGCGGACAACCCAGGCATCAAATCAGGTTTGTCCGCAACAATTTCTGGTGTCCCAAAAAATATCCCCAAATCTCTTATTTTCAATCACATAATAATATGATCAGAAAACACCAAAAAAGCGTGCGTAGCCAGGATTTTTATCAAGGGGGGCCAAAAACAGCGAACTGCGCAAAATAGTGGATGACTTAATATTTTAATGGCTCCTCCGCCTCCCTCTCCACACCCTACGGCTCGGCTCCTCTACCTCTCAGCTCTGTAAACTTTGTTTTGGGGGCCAAAAACATACTGTAGGAGTGATATCTTTAAATTTATTTTATTTCAACCTGTAAACTTAATACTTTGCATGAATCAGGTTGGTCATCATGACTAGTTAATCTTCTTTTGCATGAATCTTGACATTAGCCAAAAAATTTTGGTTTATAAAAATGGAAGACATCGGGTTTCAGGGTATTCACTCATACTTAATGAGTCATACTGCAATAATATTATTATATATCAATTGGTCCACTTATGATCAGATCATTCAGATGTATAATAATATTATTGCAGTGGGAGTCGTGTGACTCATATGACTGGATACTAAATGACATTGGCTACAATTATCACTATATACCCATTAAATAAAAATTCAAGCTGCAACTGAATATATCATGCAAAATGTATTCCAGGTCTCATTGAATCAATGCCAATGGAACACAGAACTTTGTCTAGAATCCAAACCTAAGCTCCTTTAATCATTGTCATTTGAATAGAATCCGTTTTGTATAAAAAAATAAAATTTTCTTCTCAACTCTAAGAAGTCTAAGAAGTTTCAAATTGATATCATTCTTAACAACTGGAACAGCTAGCTATACTTACTAAACTGCATGTTTTTTTTAAAATGTTTAATAAGTTTAAAATGGTTTGTAATGGCTAGCTATAGAATACCTCTATTATCGCTGACACACTCGCTTCAGTTAGTCTGTTTACCTCTCAGGCAGATTCGATTACATCACTGCCACAACAAATCTACCAGCAACAAGCCATTTGTCTCTTCAGAAAAAGCATTTGTAGTGATCGATAAGTAGTTACCCAAGGCTGCGACACTAGCGGTGGCCGCGGTGGCCCGGGGCCACCAAAACTTGATGTCGGGCCACCAAAATTTCCAAAAGTTAAAATTTGGTGGCCCGATCGGCCACTAAAATATAAAATGTCTATGTGATAAAAATAATTGTTTCTTACGTGCTAATCTCATTCAAAAGAGAGCGAGCAATTCGCGCGAGGCGAGGGCACACGTACGCACGTGCAGCATTCTACGCGAGCATACACGGGCGCACGGCATATTTGCAAGCGCCAGCATACATGTGATTACATTGTATCAAGCGAACCAGACAATGCGTCTAGACAATACGCATGTCTCCAGTGTACTGTGGAGGCATGTAAAATGAACGCGAGCGATGAGAGTTTCGAAGGCAAACAATTGTCATAATAACAAAATGATGAAATTTCTTCATTTTTTGATGTATTTTGTTCAAAATGTTAAAAATACGGGACACACATGCGTCCCGGGAAGGGTCGGTACGGGACGCAGGACACATGGGCAAAATACGGGACGTCTGGTCACCTCTGATTGCTTAGCTAGCTGCACTGGTCTCACTGTTTCGGATCCGAAGCGAAACTGCCAACTATTCCATGAAGATGATCAGTATTTTAATCCGAAGTGTAATATTAGTGCTTTGTAAGTTTATTTATGCATTTTCTGTCTCTTTAACGCAAACGAAATATTGAACTTAGTCTTAGACATATGGCTGCTTTTTCTTTTTAAATGCATGGTACCCAGGCTACATTTTGTTGATATAATTATGGTTCTACTTTATCTTATTAAATCTGCAATATTTTATTTTTTACAGTTTCAAAAGCCTGTCCAGACATTTGAACTTTTATGAGATTAAATGTATATGTTTTATTTTAACATGAAAGCCAAATGTGTTGTTGTTTATATTACAGTTACTTTGTTTATTATTTGCATGCTCTGTGACTTTGATCTTCTGAAACGTCTGCACTGATCGATAGCATGTGCACGCGCGTGTTTAGATAAAAATGAGTGAAAGTATAAAAATGGTATGCAAGATTCTGGTGAAAATTTGATGCCGTGGAATGGATATTTAAATGTATGCCTCAACTCATCAATGTCAGTGTGTTGCCATCGTGTGGGTTTGTTTAAAGACTTGTGCAAGTGCATCAGACGGCCCAATTTCAAATAATATACAATACGAGATTGAATAAAGATTTATGTTTTTTTTTTTTTTTTTTCGGGCCACCAGATTTCATTTTCGGGCCACCAAAAATTGAAAATCAATGATTTTGGTGCCCGATCGGGCCACTGAAAAAAAAAGTTAGTGTCGAGCCTTGAGTTTACCTACATGTTACTCGCCGATGAAACTTATCCACACAGTCAAATTTGTTGTCGGCTACGAACGTGAGTGTTGATACGCATACTTATTGGCCAAAGCACCCATATTACACGGCATTGCTGACCAATGAGAAGCGGCGAAACAACACTAGCCTATGGACGCACATGCAGGGCGATCGACAGCCAAGAAATTCAATTCGCGGTCAGAAAAATATTAATAAAGTGCGTTTTTCGTCACATTTTTTCTTGGTTGTCACCGCGGCAATGTCCAGACTGGTTAGTTTTTGTCCGGCGCAAATTCTGGTTGTCTCGGACAACCGGACAACGCTTATTTCGAGCACTGAATACTATAATCATCACTTACGTTATTAAGCAGACATTCAGGCCGTGTTTCATTCTCTCCTGCTCGCCATATCCTTAGGTAATCCCCACTGGTTGCAAGCAAATCTGGGAAGACACCTTTCTGCAAAAAAGTTACAATTGGACAACATGAACACCTGCCAATAACAATTGCAAACGTGATAAATATTATAGAATTGTGTAACTAATGTAACGACAGGAGAAATGAACTCATATCCATGAAGACTCATAAAGGCTTCTCTACACATTGATTACAGCCAACTTAAACCTCTACTCAGATAACAGTCAGGCGTAATTCTGAGACGCACATGTATGACTACTGCCACAGAAAGCACCTCAGAAGATGTATACTCACTGTATGACTAGACTGCCCGTAAGACAAGTAGTAAAACAGTGTAATGGACTGTAATAGTGTATGCTACAACAGCGCGCTGTGACTACGTGTATGTTCTTGCTTTGATATTTCAAACCTGTCGGCCTGAAATACAACCCTGTCGGCTCAAAACTCAAACCTGTCGGCGTTACATGTTAAAACCCCTCATGGACCACACTGTAACTTACACTGTCAGGTATCCACATGATTTTTGTGCAAGGGTATGGATGATCAAACGTGCTCTTGCACACAAACTCTGATGTGTCCTCATCGAGTGACACAATCTGAACCTGTAGAAAGGCAAAACTTAATTTATATGCAGCATAGGAATAGCAAGCTTAACTGAAAATAATGCTTTTAGTCTGAAGCATTGTTACCTTTTACATGCAGTAAATCATTGTTGCATTATTTTACAGTTTGAGGATTTATATTAGGATGTACTAATACTATTGTATCTTACCTTGTTGTTGTACTCCTCAACGAAGCTTCCAAGTGCTAACCGAAATCGCTTGTCGGGTCGCACACTCCAATTCATAGCATACAGTGTCCAAGGTGCGTCATACTTGTAAATCTCCTTGCGCTTGGTTGGTGGCGCTGGTGGGGCCCCCGAAGGAAGCGACACCATTTTGCCGCCGAAACGAATTTTTAGTTTGTTGTGGGAAACCTACAGAAGAGAAAAGACACTGGTTATTTGATCTTGTATGATATCGCCGCAGCAATGCTGCATACACCGATCAAAATTATACAACAATAATCGCGTTTCCTAGCAAAGACAAATACAAAAACCAGCCACGTGCGCTTATGTGAATGTAACGACAGGGAACATGACATGCACCTGTGGGAGGGTGGCAACACTTCAATGTCCTCATTGTCACTCATTTGTGTATCACCGAAAAAATGTGTGAACATTTACACACACCACTTAGTGTCGTGGAACTGTTTGAAAAGTCAGCGACATGAATTATTTTTTGACGGCAAATATTATTATTATTATTAATATTAAGAATATTAATAATAAGAATATATTTAATATTAATATTAGACCACTAAATTATCATGACGTCCTTATTGACGCTGATAGGGTCTATGTCCCCCAGGGTACTGCCGGAACGTACCCTGGGTACGGTCCGGTATACCGGAACGTACCCTGGTAACTATGTGATATGACGGACCGTACCTCGCTTACTCCCTACCGTACCCTGACTGTCCCTGTTCCGCCCGCAGCTACTGAATGTCGCAAATTTGAAATATACATACAGACCTGCATGATATCTTTATAAAGTTGGATTGGATTATGAAACTGTGAAACCAAGAAGAAATTTCAACCTATATACACTGATGCGCGCAATCCTTTTTAGACTATAGGCGTCCTGTCCGTGTTCGTTCAGTCTTGTGATCCCTCCCCGGCAGAACATGAAAATCGTTTGTAAATAAGGGAAAAAATATGAAACAGGAGATTTTCAACACGTTTTATGTCCAACGTCTGAGGCCCTCGACGTTTTTAGTAATTTGGTGGGAAAATTAGGAATTTCAGCTTATTATTCACCGACACCGCGTAGTAACATGACGGAGATTGTCCAATTAGGTCCGCGCGTTGCAACGCATGTGCTAAGAGCGAAGTAAATAATCCAATCGAAAGAGCCGTACTACGCTATGTTTGCACTATGTTGTTGCTAAGGACTCCAACATGACTGCGCCCACGGAGCCATTGAAAATACTGTGTTAATGTTATTGTCACAACCCTGGTGTTTCTGAGAGTGAAATTACACCTTTCAAAGATTTAACTTGGACTACGTTTCTACGGAGTGTTGTAATTTGGAATGATTTAGTGGGCAATCAAGCTGAAATTGCGAAAAATTTCATCCATGCTCATGACTTGGAGTCACTGCCACTGGCACTGGCACTGCCGCTGGGTCGCATGATGCCGTGGTGCCGGTGCCCTTGCCACGAGAAGCTGGATTTCACCGCAAATGCTACCAGTATTTTACAGATTCTCAAAGCAACAGCGGGATTAGCGTGCAAAGCAGAAACTGGAGGCTGCATCTGTTAATGTTACATACATATTAAAACGCTACATATGTAACTCTAGTGTAGCAACCCACTGACTTAAGTAACTGCAGCAGGCCGAACGCAGTATGATAAAAAAGTACGAGTACGACTAGCTCTAGTAGTTAACTATACTACGTCCGCGTACAGCGGCAACTGTGCTGGGCTATAGTTACTAGAGCTAGAGTAAGACAAACTTAAGTTACGTACTTTATTATACAGTGAGGCCTACCACATTCTCTAACATTTTGCTATTATTAATTATTATCTTTATCTGCCCACGCTTTATGTAAAAAATTAACAGGCTTGATTTTCCCCTTAGGCCTTCATCCTAGTAGTGGCTGATAGGGTCCTATGTCCCACAGGGTACTATCGGAGGGTAACCTGGGTACGGTTTGATATATCGGAAAGTACCTCGGGGTAATATACGATATGTTGCTGCGTACCCTGCATTGTCCCACCGTACCCTGACTTTCACACACACACTGTGACACAATATATGACAGCAAAAATATTGAGATTAATTAAAGAATCATCAATTAATATGAATAATTTAGAAAAATTAATAAAAGCTAGTAGTCTCGTTTAATGTTATCATTGTAATACTATCATTACCATAAATAAAAATGGTTTGATATTGACATGAAATATAACAAAATCAATATGCACGTGACGGCGGCAATACCTTGTGGCGGTAATGGCACCAGTATAGTAGGGGAGAAGCATAAATATATTTTTTATTTCCTTTAATCTATGAGTTATTTATACATTTAGAATTTATTTATACATGTTACATAACAAAATTCGCAAGTATGTTGTACGGTTTTGTTCTATTTATTTATAATTTAAATTATGTAATGACATGTTATACTTGTTTCACATAATTTGAATTATGTTTATATCTTACTTATTCATTTGTACTATTTTGTTAAACTTGTAAATGGAAAAATACAGAAAATAAATTCAAATCAAATCCATTTGTTTTTGTATATCTAGGATTAATTCAAAATAAAGGAGTAGATAGGCAAACTTTCTACTGTTTGCTCTATTTTTTTGGTTTAGCTGGCCGTGTAAAAGTGCAATCCCCGAGTCCCACTGCCTACAAACCACGAGAGCGCTGCACAAAGGGGAAAAAAATACTGAGGTCTAGTTCTGCATGTGTCCTTCATCAACATCCCCAGTTCTCATATCCTACCCAAAGTGTGCATTATCTGTCGTGGCACACAGTACACAACAGACTACAACCGGAAGAGACACCCAGAAAGTTTCCTATTTGCATTTTATATAATGTTTTGTTTAAAAGAAAAGAAAAACAACAAAGGAGACTTTTACACAGCGAGTGACTTACAAATGCAGATGAATTTTATTCAAAGCGGGTTCATTCAGATTATAGAGCAAAACAAAAATAGTAAAAATGTAGTTGAACCCCCCCCCCCCAAAAAAAAGAGAGTATGGTGTTGGTAAGTTACCCTTAAGGGGTTTCATGACTCATCCCATTAACAAATCTTTAAAACCCAAATCCTGCCTACAAGTGAAAACATACTATTTTATAGTGATGGGAATCGGCTGGAATTTCATAATCGATTATCGGTTTCCCTTAACCGATCGATAATCGGTTAATAATAGCATAGATTTAATTTAATCTTACTTTGTATATACAATTATACATAGCATTCAATATTATCATGTTTTATGATCATGTATTAGCTCTGTGAAGGTTGCTGTATGTATATCAATGTCGTTTCTATACAGTATTTAATCAATTTAAAAAGAAATGGTTTAAATGCTTTATTAAAACATTAAAGTTTTTAACAAACATGATCAAGACTTGTTCTTTATTTAGTAAGTAAGTTGTTTGTGTTCTAATAGTGTAGGCTGTGTAGCCGAGTTAATGTCCTGCCAATGGAATATCCTCTCCAACACAATGTAACAAACAATACGGAGAGTAGAATCTCATCTACGGATAACATCTGTGGGACAGTGTCAAACCAAAACAAAGACACTGTCCAATTTGTCCTCTGCAATCAGACAGGACCTATGTTAACAGTGATTCATAAGGTTCCTCTGGACTACACACTGATGCACTTCTACTTCGCTACCAATGCATGTCCATGTTGCGATTTAGTAATTTAAAAAATTATTTTATTTTATTTAATTTTTTTGGTATTTTATTTAATTTTTTTGGTATTTTTGATAATCGATTATTTGTTTTCATAATCGATTATCGAATTTGAGACTATAATCGATCGATTTTCGATTATAATCGATCATTGGAACATCACTACTATTTTAATTGCAATTTGCATTGAAAACAATAAAATACATAAGAAATTGTAAAAAAAACAATTTTAATATGAAATATATAATACTGTTTACCCAAGTTATCTTCTTAGATACCTGTCTAATAAATACCTTTAAGTTAAAGCTGCTATTTGTTGCTTAAATCACATTAAGTGAAAAAATGCATTAAATTGAAAAAAATTGGCATTAATTATATTTGAGCAAGATTGTGGGTAAGTGTGCGTGTTGCGCGAGTGGATAAGTTGGAATAGTGATTGGCATCATATTAGCTACACGTTAAACAATGTTTCATGTTCTGCAAGGAGGGGACCACAAAGTCAATATTTGATGCATTTGTAGTGTACGGCCTATAGTCTATTTGCAAATATCGCGATGATCGGGAATGCGTTTTCCTTTCGCAATATTTACGACATTTTCCGCGGGCGAGATTTTTGAAAGATGGCTCCAAGTGTTGTGGTGGAACAGGAAAATTTGTATGATTATCTTAATGGGTTGGAAACGTATAGACTCGCTGACACTTGTAGAAAGGTCGGAGGTGAAACGTAACAGGGTAAAGGTTACGAATATTTTGCGGAACGGACCGGAAACAAGGAACGGGAGCATAAAGCGGCGCGTTTCCTGCCGACAAGCGGTATGTATTACGACATTGCTGAAAGTCAGGGTACGGTTTGAAGTAGGCGAGGTATGGTCCGGCATATTAGATAGTTACCAAGGTAGCGTCGGTATACCGGACCGTACGCCAGGGTACGTTTCCGGCAGTACCTGGGGGACATAGACCCTATCAGCCTTATTGACATTAACCACTCACTAAACAGTAAGCCACTGGCCCCATACCATTTTCTCACTTGGTTTCAACCAATATAACTCGGTAAGATTGATAAGTTGTACCGTCATTAAAGCTGAGAGGGTCTATGTCCCCCGGGGTACTGCCGAACTGCGTACCTGGGTACGGTCCGGTATACCCGGAACGTACCCTGGTACTATCTATATGCCGGACCGTACCTCGCCTACTCCACTAACGAGTCTAGGGAGTCGCCTACACCTACTCCCTAACTCTAACCCTGGCCATTCCGGTTCAAGGATAGAGAACATGGGTCCCAATAAAACCAATGTCATTTACATCAATATAAATATAATATTATATCAATATAATAGGTTAGGGTTATGGTTAGGGTTAGGATTAGGGTTAGGGTTAGGGTTACGGTTAGGGTTAGAATTAGGGTTAGAATTAGGGTTAGGGTTAGGGTTATGCACATTGGTTTTATTGGGACCCATGTTCTCTATCCTTGGGCCACCATAGTAGTACTAGTACTAGTACTAGTAGGCCCTACAAATAGGCTACAATCATAACACCCAAAATGTTTGTGCATGCAAACATGCATAACAATGCAAAACTATCCACCGCTCCGTCACAGTGCGTCTGAACTAGCAGCGAAGACGCGAATGTAAATCACAATATATCATAAACAGTGAAGCGCTACTACAATACCACACATGTACGTCATGTTTCAAAAATTGTACCTAAATGACTTCAATACAAAATCCATATAAAAAGGACCGGTTGAAAAATCTCTTTTCTAAGAAAATGGCGCCGAGATTTTGCGACAACACAATTGTCGTGCTAGGTATTTGTGTTTTCTTTGGAGTGGATATACCATAGACTCACATTTGATTTAAAATAACACGCGTTCAAATACACAAAAACATACTTGGGAAAATAACAATTGTGTCGAAGTTTGATTAACGAACAATTGACACCGTGTCGTAAATCGTATGCTTATCCGCCAAAACGTCAAACCTTGTTCCCTGATCTATTATTTTTGTTAGCGTGGTGACTAGTAAAGGATTTATCGGTTATGTAAGAGATTGGGAATAAGGTTCGAAGCGCGAGAAAATAAATAGTTTCAATGTTAGTTGTGTTTAGTGCCGATTAAGTTAGTATTTTTTTCGAAATGTTGTCGGAATCGAACTGTAAAGTTGAGCCAAGAGTGCCGGAAGATCTTTTTAAAGGCATTAAGTATTATTTCATTGGAAGGATCAGCAATGAGGTAGGTGAAACACTCCAAAGCAAAGGTCCAAGACCTGTCTAACCAAAATTATGGGCTCAAGGATAGGGCCTAGAGCCTAGACTGCTAGTAGTAGTAGTACTACTACTAGTACTAGTAGAGGCTAGAGAGTCCAGTTGACAGTTGTGTACATTATAATTGTATTGTACATTGTAAATTGTATACCAACTTGTACACAGTGACACACTATGCATTAATTATCGTGTATGTATAATGCGATAGTTTATTTATAGACATTCACTGATTCAGTTACTGAGACTCAGTCTCAGACTCATAGTCATAGTCATACATACTCATACTAGTCATGGCATTGTCAACTGGCATTGGCATTAGACAAACGACGTGGATATTCGGCAAGAGGTTGAAAGCTTGCTTCGTCGGTCAAGTGACGTCACGTCCGTACGGACTCAAACTCCTGTTTTAAGGTGCATTGTGACCCTAACCCTAACCTTAACCCTAACCCTATTAAAAACAAAATTAATAAAATTTTGTACAGTCAAAACTGTGACGTATGTCTGACGTATGTGAGCGACGAAACAAGCTTTCAACAGGTCTTTTGCGGATATTCGTCCGAGCATCGGACACATGTTCGTATGCGCTATTCGTCCGAGCAGTTGTTGCGCATGCGCTGTTCATGTTGCATGCCGCAGTCGCACTGCACGAGTGCCGGAGGTAGGAAGTGTGAAGGGGGGGTCTGGGGGGTCTCCCCCCCCCAGACAATTTTTAAATGTAGATGCTCTAAAATGCTATTTACCCTTTAGATTTTTTGCCCTTTAGGCTGGGGGCTCGTAGCGTTTTGCTACGGCAGCCCTACGGCTGTGACGCCCCTGCATACATGCGTTGCGTATGTGGTTATACACCATAGATAGTGTTTGGTACAATCACTCGCGTATATAAGAGAACCGAGTCGGTTTATAGTTAGTGTTAGTGTTAGGGTTGGGGTTAGGATTAGGGTTAGAGAGTAGGCGCCTCCCTATACTAGCATTATATTACATTTATGTAATACAACATGAACAGCGCATGCGCAACAACTGCTCGGACGAATAGCGCATACGAACAGGTGTCCGATGCTCGGACGAATATCCACGTCCTTAGCCATTACCACTCAATAACCACTATAATAGTATTACACTGCAAGTGCAGGCAGTCTAAATAAATTAAAATATGTCTGAGACTCGAGTCACTAAATCAGATCTCGTAGGCGCAGTAGGTACACTCTGCAAACGTCAAACGAAACGAGTCCCGGCCAGGCACACGCTAAATTTTTGCAGTGTGTAGGCTTACACGCTATCCCGGACTAAGTTAGCCCCGTGAATAGACGTTATCGCTAATCGGTAAATATCACCAGATGGCACACCACCGCAAAGCATGATGGGATGGAAAAGGGGGCATCGGTCGGCGCTCATAGGTATACGCATGGCTATGGGTGATAGGAAAGGGTACTAACTATCATATCTCGCGAATGAGTTGAGTTACATTTCTAGAAATTTAGATGAATAAAAACACATGTCTTAGCTATAATCTCTGTGAATTTTCAGTTTGTTGAAGCACGATTAGTCTACTTAATTACCAAATATATGCGAACGCTATCGCGCATAGGCACCTATTGCATGCAGCAGGCTATACGCATGGCTATGGGTGATAGGAAAGGGTACTAACTATCATATCTCGCGAACGAGTTGAGTTACATTTCTAGAAATTTAGATGAATATAAACACATGTCTAATAGCTATAATCTCTGTGAATGTTCAGTTTGTTGAAGCACGATTAGTCTAATTAATTACCAAATATATGCGAGCGGTATCGCGCATAGGCGCCTATTGCGTGCAGCCGGTTATACGCACGGCTATGGGCGATAGGAAAGGGTACTAACTATCATATCTCGCGAAGGGGTTGAGTTACATTTCTAGAAATTTAGATGAATATAAACACATGTCTTAGCTATAATCTATGTTAATTTTCAGTTTGTTGAAGCATGATTAGTCTAATTAATTAGGAAACATATGCGAACGGTATCGCGCATGCATACTGACGCCTATTGCGTGCAGCCGGCTGCTAACCGCTCGTGGCGGCGGCGGCGCTAGTAATGCCCCTTTTCCTATCCCATGATGCATTGCGGTTCCGATTGGCGATAAGGCTTATGAATATGAACATAAGGTGGGCCAGGCCCGCTTTGAAGCGTGCTAAGTTATCCCGTGCTAATTTGTGTGTGTACGCAATCTGGAGCCATGCGCAGGCTATATCTCAATATACGCATGCGCATAGCTTTGTTTGGGTTAGATAAAAGTACAGTAGCGTGTGAAATTGTGTCTGCAATTTTGTTTTCAAATGATCTTCACGTCCATCCGGAGAAATTGAGATACTGTTACAAGGTAAATGGCAAATGGCAAGTTGGCCATGGTCACTTGCCCAGAACTCAATCTGTGCATGGTTTTGCCCCCTCTCGCCAAGATAAAAAATGGTTAGGTATGCCCCTGGTTGTATTTGCTGAAGTGTGGTCGGGCTCTAGTCTAGCATAAGATCTCTTCATAGAATCACAAAGAAAACGTAACCGACGTAAAAGGAGAGAAATTTGATGAAATCTGCAAGTTGCTTTTCCTGTCCAGAATTGAATAGAGAGCGACCATGGAATACTTTCATATTCACCCATGTAATATTAAAGTTTGATATACTTGGACCCTATTGCAATCAAAACCAGTTCATAACAATCTAAATATGAGCACATGAGTGTACCATTTGATCTTTTAGAGTATTGACAGCAAAAAAACTGAAGTACAAACTTATAGGAGCTGAATCAGCAGCTCTATCCAATAATTATTGCACTGAAAGAATTATTTTTTTGCGCATTTCTTAAATGCAGGTGGTTTGAATCATTTTGGGTAAGGAATTGCTATTAATTTTTTTTCCGTACTTAGGTTAAAAAGATGCTAAATGATGGCGGAGCAAAGAAGGAATCATATCTTACAGACATGGTTACACATGTCATTGCTGAGAACGGGGATAGTACAGAAGTTTCAGAGGCCAAAGAACTTTTTGAACTTCCTGTTGTGCTTGTAAGTATTTACTTTGGCTACAAGCAGTGTGCAGTGTTTACAATTTATGCGTTTGACCAAAAATTCACAAATGCAACAAATTATTGGATTGTACATCATTACGATGTACAATCCAATAATTTGTTGCATTTGTGAATTGTACCTGTTGTAGCATTGATGTTCAATAGATTTTACATTCTAACTCTGAGAACATTATTTATTAATATTAGCCATATTTGTCACAAAACTGCATATCTAGAGTGATGCATATTATTGGAATTGACCTTTATTTGTGAATGTTTTCAGGAACGATGGGTGATTCTCTCAGTGAAATGTGGATGCCAGCTTCCGTATCCTTTATTGTCTGAAGTTACATAAGCATTACAAGTGCATAAATAACAAACAGTGTACAGTAGCAATGTGTGCGTAAGTTGGTAATGAACAATTTGTTGTTGTTATTGTTATTAACTTTATATATATGTATTGAAAAGTATTATTTTGAAAGTGTGACGTAACCACTGGATGATCATCACTGAAGTGTGTCACTGTGTCTATGTAATGATCGTTTGTTGCACGTACAGTTTACTGATATTAAATCGCTACTAGTCTATCTATACCCAGGGTGCGAAATTAACGCCAAATACTCCCTGTTTTATTGTCGGACTCCCTGATTTGAAATATGCAGGAGTCCGTGTGACTCCCTGAAAATTCTGCTATACTAACTAGTTCGTTCCAGAGCACGGCCTCGCGGAATTACCGTATTTTTTCAGCAAATGTCCAAAGAAAATTTGGCAGCCGTGCAAACCGCATGAATCTTCAAAATAACCACATGCATTATTGTTTATATATTTATTTAATTTAGAACCTCAGACTGCGGACTCCCTCATTTTGCTGCGGACTCCCTCTTTTTGTGGGCAAAAAAAAAAGAAGTTAATTTCTACCCCTGTATATATATCTGTATTACATATCGAGTTTATAGCTGCATACCTGTATTTTCCTTAATACATATTTTGCTCAGTTTGAATGCATTCAACCCAGAGTCCAATCAGCTGTTTTCAGGTGTAGTCGCATGTACATCACAGGTAAGACATAACCCCCTCTGATATTATCTTATAAACTAAGTAGTTGAAAACGTATTTGTAACGTTGTACCGTTAACATTATCATTATAATGTTGTTTATAATGTTATACATGTTATAGCGTTGTTTATAACGTTATAACGTTGTTTATAATGTTTATAACATTTATCACCTTTTTGTAATGTGTGATCTTTGAGTTATTGCGGATGCCTCTGCAAAGCTGTCATCTAAACTAATTAGTTGAAAACGTTTTTGTAGTGTGTGATCCTTGAGTTATTGCTGATGTCTCTGCATTTCTCATGTTTATGTGCAGCTGCCAGCGAATGATAGCAAGCTGATATGGGTGATGGTGACATACAATGGTGGTCGCTTCCAGGTGAATCTTAACAAAAATGTAACACATCTCATAACCGGCTCACCGTTCGGGGTAAGTATCAGCAGTACTATTCCTATTCTGGTGTGATTTGTAATTTTGGAAATAAATACCAATTATGCTATTCGTAGGTACGATCTTTCTTCTGCAGTATCATCAGTGGAGAACATACATATAGCTAAAATTCGCCAATCAATGGGCTTTTAATCCACTCATTGCCTAGAAGGTTGTTAGTCAATAGTCAGCAGAACAGTCTATCTATATTCTATCACAAACTTTAATTCGATAATTGCAGTGGCGACAAATTCTCGCTAACTTCTCATGTCTAATTCGCGGATATGTGTTACAGAAAAAATACGATTTGGCGATGAGACATTCGGACAGGGTCAGGATCGTCATGCCGGACTGGGTGACTGACAGCACCGCTGACCGTTGTCTACTGGACGAGACACTGTACCACCCACGACTCGCGAGACCACCCACCCCACCAAAGCCACCGACGCCTCCTCCCCCTCTTCCACAGCCAACTGTTCGAACACACCTGGAGTCGCCCAGGATGCAGGTGCCGATGTCAAACCCTCTGGGTGCCCCGCTCCTCGGCATGCAGCTGAGGGCACCGCCTCCCGGTGTCCACAAGCAGGGCGCCGGAGGCTTCAATCGTCTCCCGTCCCCGAAGCAGCGCTCCCAGTACTCTCCTCAGGGAATTCCGACGAGCGCCGCGTTTCAGCCCGCCATGATGTCGCCCACGGGACTGTTCCCGTCGCAGCAGCACAGTCCGCGGCAGGGACTCCCTCGACCCGCGCAGCAGGGTCACCAGCAGGCCGGCATGTACGCGAACCCGGCGGCGGCAGCGGCGGTGCAGAAGCAGCAGGCGGCCGCATTCGGGAAACGGATGGCGACGCCGTCTGCGGCGGCGGCGGCGGCGATGCAGCAGCGCATGCCGTACATCATGTACATGCAGAACCTGCAGAACATGCAGAACGCCGGCGGCGGCAAGGGGCTGCGGCAGACGCCGCCGCCGAGCAGCGGCACGGGCATCAACATGCAGATGCAGGGCGCGAAGATACAGCACGTGCGCGAGCAGGTGCCGCTCACCCTTCAGCAGGCGATGCAGGCGCGCATGCAGGCGATGCAGCAGGGCAACTTTCCGGGCATGATGCACCGGCCGATGGGCATGCAGGTACCGGGACAGGTGATGCAGGGAGCGTGCCAGGGCATGCCGGGACCCGGGCAGGGCATGCCGGGACCCGGGCAGGGCATGCCGGGACCCGGGCAGGGCATGGCGGGGCCCGGGCAGGGCATGGCGGGGCCCGGGCAGGGTATGCAAGGGCCAGGACAGGGAATGCATGGGCCGGGACAGGGAATGCATGGGCCGGGACAAGGCATGCAAGCGCTGAGCCAAGCCATGCAGGGTCCTGGGCAGGCAATGCAAGCCCTTAGCCAGAGCATGCAGGGATCTGGACAGGGCATCCAGGCACCAGGCATGCAAGTAATTGGGCAACCCTTGCAGGGTCCTGGACAGGGCATGCAGAGACCAGGTCAGGGTATCCAAGTACTTAGCCAGGGCATGCAGGGCCCTGGACAGGCCATGCAAAATCTTAGCCAGACTATGCAGGGACCAGGCCAGAGCATGCAGGTGAATCTCCCGCAGAATATGTCTGGTGGATTGCAGACGAACGCTGGTAGTGGCATGGTGCTCTCCACACAACAGGGCATGGCAGCTGCACGCATGGGCATGTCGATTCCTCCATCGTCGATGTCTACGAGCTTGGGCATGTCCATGGCCCAACAGTCGATGCCCAGCAACATGGGCCTGTCGAAGTCCCAGCAGTCGATAGCCACCTGTATGGGCATGTCCGTGTCCCAACAGTCCCTCGCCACGAGCATGGGCGGCACCATGCAGAACCTCGCGGGATTTGCAGCGAACATGTCGTCCATGTCTGGTGGTCACCCCACAACTCAGTCAGTAGGTGGCATGATGACGGGCGCACACAGCATGGGCATGTCTCCGATGCAGCAGGGTATTCCGAAGGCTGGCCTCGGCACCTCCATGATGAGAATCAGTGCGGCAGCAGCAGCGGGTGGCACAGTAGCAAGCAACATGGCTAGGATGGCCGGCGTGCCGCCGCGCAATCTGTCGCCTCAGCAAATGGAAACCAGCACCAGCTCGGCGATGCCGACGGCCAAGTCCGCCCTCGTGCGCATGATCAACAACCGGCTGCACAACCAGGAGGCGCTAGCGCTGCCGCAGGACCCCAACCAGCATCTCGGCCACCTGCAGAACATGATGGGCCAGCAGCTGCATCAGCAGCAGATCGCCGGCATGCACGCGAACGCCACATCGCCGCGTGCTCTCCGCAACATCAGCAACATAAGCCAGGTCCAGTGGCAACAGCAACATCAGCAGCAGCAGCAGCAACAACAACAGGTAGCAGCGGGAATGGGCGCTACGCCGCAGCAGTCGCAGACGATCTACCCGACGAGCGTCAACCAACTCGTGGCTGCCATGAACAGAAACCGACAGCAGCAGCAGCAGGACAACAAGATGATTCCGTCCGTGGTCGTGCCACCCGTGCCGGACGTCGTCCACTACTTCGGACATGATCCGCAGATCCGTGTGCCGGCCGAGCTTTGTCTGCTCGGATGCATCTTCGTGATCGTCGACTACGAGCGCATCGTCGACTCGAGCCTGCTGCAGTCGTGGTGGAAGGTGATCGAGCATCACGGTGGAGAGGTGCTGCCCACCTACCAGCCGCGATGCACGCACCTCATGTGCGACAACCAGAAGAGTGCCGTCTATCAGCAGGTGAGCTAGGCACGCGCGTGCGTGCGTGCGTGCGTCCGTGTGTGTGAAAGCGTTTGTGCATGCACACGTGCGTATGCGCATGAGTGCGTGCTTGTATGCGATGATTGCATGTGTGCGTGCAGTGATTGTGTGTGTAGGTGTGATGATTGCATGTGTAGGTGCGATGATTGCATGTGTAAGTGCGATGATTGCATGTGTAAGTGCGATGATTGCATGTACAGGTGCGATGATTGCATGTGCGGTTGTGCGATGATTGCATGTGTAAGTGCGATGATTGTTTGTGTGTGCATGTGCGGGTGAGGTGTATGGGTGAGTGCGTGCATGTGTAGGTGCGGTGATTGCATGTATGTGTGAATGCGCAAGATGTGTGATGATTTTGCGAGTGTGTACATGTGTGGGCGATTGAGCGTGTGAGACTGAGAGCTTGGGTGGTTGCGGTGATTGCACGTGTGCGTTTGAATGTCAGCTTGCGTGCTTAAATTGGTGGGGAATTATTATAAAACCTTGATAAGGACCACATAACCTTGGAAGAAGTAAAGGACAACGCGATCCCTTCTGTGTTCGCAAGTATCGCAAATTGGTGTGGAATTATTATAATACCTTGATAAGGACCGCATAACCTTGGAATACGTAAAGGACAATTGTGACCCGCTCCAGCAAAACCAGGATTAAGTAGGAAATTTTACAAATTGAGTTATGTGCATATCTGAATAGATCATTTAATTTCCTTTAAAATGATATATAATATTTGGCTATATCTAAAGAATTGACCGATCTACAGCAATTTGAAGATTGGAAACCGACTTATTCCGGAATATGCAGCTTTTGAGATAAAGCGTTCCGGGTATGGTGCCCAGTCGGGGATGAGGGGCCGCCCTTCACAATTTTTTTTTCTTCTTTTTTTTTAAATTAAAAAGGACCATAACAACCTAGAGATATCTGAACCTATAAATCCGGATTAAATATGCACTTAGGAACATATTTCAGAATTGACATGTGTGCGTGCTCATTACTCAAAACAATGACTTGCGACTTAGTCCCTATTATGCTGGAGCGGGTCACAATGTGTTGCCTTCGGTGTTCACAAGTATCTTGTGTTTTAGGCTGTGAGGGAAGGCAAACGCTGTGTGACAGCATACTGGCTCAACGACTGCCTGTTGCAGAAGAAGATGGCACCCCCATGGAGAGCATTACACCTGCCAACACTCTTTGCTGAGGAGAAACCGCTGAAAAATCACGTGAGTCGAGGCGGTAGGGAATATGCAGAAGTAGGGGCATCTTTCTTTTCCGAAGATATGTTGTTCTTCATTATTAAAAGCCTGCTGCTATTAATAACCTGATGATTTTAATAGCCTGGTGCTTTTTATCAGTGGCTTGGTTCATTGCATTATTAGGTTTCAAGTCACACGTCTGATAGTACTGTGATAATGATGATGATGATGATGATGATGATATGGTAAAATATTGTTTAAGCAATGCAAAATAAAACTATTTATATTATATAGACATGATTTTCGAGCGAAGGTTCACGTTCACAGGTTGAATTTTGCAGATAATATGCGTGTCAAACTTCGAGGGCGAGGAGCGCGTGATGATAAAGGCAATGATTGTAGTGCTGGGTGCCAAGTATACAGGCTTCATGACCCGGCACAACACTGTCCTCATATCCCGCAGGTAACCATGGTTGCGAATAGTGAAAACAGGTTGTGCTCATTATGCTTATCAGGTTGCTATGTTAGGTTATTAGGTTATGCTTATGGTTATTAGGTTATGGTTAAATGGTTATTAGGTTGCTATGTTAGGTTATAATGTTATGCTTAAATGGTTATTAAGTTGTGCTTACTAGATTTCGGTACCATGCTAATTGTATGTTTAGGAAGGTAATTTGCCATCTCTCACTTGTCATAGCCACAATATGATCGGAAACTGTGCTTGTTTTAATGGTTGGTGTAATTATATAAAAGATTACTCAATTTAAAATGATACGAGTCCATCAAGCCTTTTATGTATTTTAGTCGCTTCTGGTGGCTGCTAGAAAAAAAAAGAAGAAGATTATAATTAACGACGCTGTCTGTCGCACATTACAGACCCGACGGTAAAAAATACGAGAAGGCACGCCTGTGGCGCCTCCCAGTGGTCAACGTACAGTGGCTGCATGACCTCTTGGCGGGACTGACAGAGCCGCTGCGAGCGCCGGACCTGCCCAAGTACACCCAGATGCATGCTAGTGACCCCTTCAAGCTGGACGTTACCGCTCTGCCAACCCTCATGAGTAAGTAAAGATGAAGAAATGCTGGTTCTTGAATTTCATCATCATGTCATTTTACAGACATTGTAGCCATAATTGTACACAAGATGTGCAAATAGCAATGGCACATCTATATATTTGTTGCATGCAGATGGGTGGAAGTTACCAGTACCGATTGCACCAGAGCAGTGGAAGACCATGGCTGCAAACTGCCAGTTGCGCATGTTAAGACAAGAGGAGCACGCCAGCACAAAGAGGAAGGCATCACTGCCTAACCCTCCCATAAACAAGAAAGCTAGGTATCCATGGCTTCTTTCTATCCATTAATTGTAATCCTAGTAATGATAGTAATAATGTTGTGAATGTAATCATGAACGAGTGTACTATCTAGTATAGCTGTCTGGATGGCATAATGAATATTAGAATTATGTGAGCTTTACTACTAGTTGAATTTTATATAAAATTAAGAAATTTAATTTTGAAATATTAGCCAAAGTAGTCATCTCTGTGTAAAACTATTAAGCTTATTCTACATGCACCATCTATCACTAAAACCAACTTCAAGTTATGAATGACTTTGTATGTGGTATAGTTTTAAAAAACAATTACTTGTTATTTAAAACTGTTGTGAACAATTGGTGTATAGGCATTCATACTCTTATTTGCAATGCTGCAAGTGTTATTAAATGTGCAATTTACAGGTATTTTCCGGAGATCACTGAAGCAGAAAAGCAGAGTTCACTCTACAAGAAGATCGTTCTTTTTACCAGCTTCCCAAAAGACATTGTGGCTGATTACAGCAAAGTGAGATATTATCCTCTATTGTCATTAATCAGAAAACAGCCTTAGCACCTTCCAGCCAAGGGTTGAGTAAATACAGATTATTGTACTTATAGCTTGCTATGCTACTATTACAGACTGTTACAGTACTATATTATTGCAGTGATAGTGCTACAGTCTGCGAAATTAACCACTAGCCCGGTATCCGAGGCCAGTAAATTTTCCGTGGGGCCAATGAAACTGGTAAATGAACAAGCCCGATGGGCCAGTAGAAAAAAATGGAGTAAATGGTATATTAATGATATTTCAGCTTCTTTATGTGATGATCAGTCTGAGAATTTACCGAAATTCCTGATATTTTGTATGCAAATTTACCGATATTTACCGATAGGGCATCATATTCCCGATCTTAAGTAGAGGAAGTAACTAGTCAACACCATGCGTGTTTGTCGCCGCTAGAAGTCGCAACAACTTCCGGTCTCCGGTCCGGTTCAGTTTCTCTTTTCATGATATGATGATCATTGATTCGGGCCTGTAAAACCTAGTGTGGGCCAGTGAATTATACATTTCTACAGGCCCGCTGGGCCAATAAGGGTGGAAGTTTTTCGTGCAGACTGCTGCTAGTAAAATATCTAAGGTTCATCCAAAGGGAGATTGTTCTGTCTATCCTGTTTGTGTGATTCTATCATGTAGCTTGTTAAAACTACAAGTAAAATATCACCATGTTGTGTACGCATATAATTGTGAATATCGGCATTTAAAAACTGAGGCATTGCAACCATATTTGGCTACTTGACTGTAAAAATTATCATATGGCTGTTTTCTGTGTTGTAGAAGCTCATCCAGTTGGGCGGGGAGGTGGCCGTGTCACCACAGAATTGTACCCACATGGTCTGTCCTGCAGTGCAGCGTACTGTCAAATTCCTGTGTGGGATCAGCAAGTGCAAGCATATTGTCACACCTATGTGGATCGAACAAAGCTTCAGGGTTGGCATGTTTGTAGGTGAGTAGAGTAATGCTTTTGCAGAAATGTGATATTTTTTATATTCCCATTAGTTCTTGTGCTACGGGTTCATTTTCTGCGATTTCCAGATGAATCAAAATTCGTCCTGGAGGACATAGATGCAGAAAGAGACTTTGACTTCAATCTCAGGGAGTCCATGATAAGGGCACAAACGAAACCAGTGTTTCAGGTATAGTAACAAGTGCATAAAATTAATAAAATGTACAAATATTAAGGTAATGTAAGGGAATCCTTGTGTGGTTTTGACATCGCTTTTCTCCGTGATTTTTTTTACTCAATCGCGGTAACTGAAGATATATTCAGAATCACCACGTCTTGCAGGTGGTACTGGCTGAAACAAAAATTTTAAAAAGTTAAAAAGTTAAAAATAAAAAATTAATTCTATTCCTCAATAAAGGGCGATGCGTACAGCTAAACATCTCAGATTGAGAGCGTTACACAACTAACGCATAACTCTCCAGTGGTCCAGTTAGATTAGCCATCGATCTCCTAAACCGGGGATTCTGGGTTCGAGTCCCACCTGGTGGAATATTTTCTTTCTTTACTTTTTGACTGTTTCCTATGTACTTGTGCCACTTTTAACTAACCGTTAATTTCAAAATTTAAAAGTTTAGTAAAAATCCAGAATAAGCTATGGTAGATGATAATAATCCATACATCGCTCATCTGCCGCCTACTGTGGTGACTCTGGTGTGATCACTTCAGTCGTGCATAGCTCCACGTTTGTTAGGCCCCAATGTGTTCACATATGCGCTTAAACAGTGCGCGTTTACATTGTGTTACTATACATGCATGTATACATAGACAGATAGATCGTTTTTGTCTCAATATTGTTTATTGTTTGTTTCTCTGTTACGAATCTATCCTTAGCATCAAGTAAATAAATTTGAATTTGCTCTAAAAGTTGCTTCTACGCGTTTTTCCCCGAGCAACGCTGGGTACCCAGCTAGTGTTGTATGATATTGTCAGTTTTGTCTTGTGGAAGTAACACTGTGTCCAAGCCAGAAACAATTATGGTTGAATGTTTTGCTGTGGTTCTATTTGTCCTGACTTAATGAGGAACAACACCTAGGGACAGTGATTTTCCGAGATCGCGGAAAACGGACGGAAAATATGGAAACAGCCATTGGAAACGGAAAAGATGTTTTCAAATGGAAAAATGCGGAAAACGTAATTTGAACATATTACATGGAAATTTCAATAAAATCATTAAAAAACGTCGACAATAGCATTGGTTGTGATATGGTTTACATTCAGACAAGTTTCAGAGCAAACTGACTTACAATTACGTCTTTTGGTAGCCCTGTGTTTCGGTGCCAACCCAACTGTCAGTCAGTGACCAAATACCTTTTTTTCATGCAAATATATGTAAACGGAATTTTGCATTTTTGGTGTGTACAATCTCTATGGGAAAACGGAATTTCCATTTTTTCTTTACTTTGAAACGGAATTCATGATTTCCCCAAACGGAAAAGGCAATTTTTTGAAACGGAAAATCACTGTCCCTAAACACTTAACGAGACACCAACTTCGTAGACATGTGCAGGAAATTGTAGTGTATCACTTTGAGACGAAGGCTGTGCACAACCCTCATTTAATTTGCCAGAGTTTCTGCTGTGAACAATATTATGTCTGTTAGTATAATAACAATTTCCAGTTGATTGTGTGTTTTGTCTGCGTGCTTTGATGCTAAATGTAAAGTGGTCTTTTTGTGCAGGGTTTAACATTCTATGCAACGCCTAGTGTGCATCCCCCACCCACTGTGTTGAAGGAGATCATAGAGTGCGCTGGTGGCAGTATTGTCGTGAAACGACCATCGTGTAAAAAAATCAAGGAGTTGAATCAGGTATGAATAGAAAGTGTGATGTGTATAATGTTGAAATACTTGAACATTTGGAAATGTAAATTTCTGTCTATTCTTTTACTGATTTTCCTGTTATCTTGAATGACATCGGTTTTTCTCGTTTTGTGTTTTTAGAATGGATCAACATTCATAGTGGTGTCGTGCGACAAAGATGCCTTCCTTTGCAGAGACCTGATGAATTCAAAAATACGTAAGTAAAAAATGAAAAGTGAGTCAGCCGTTAACTGGTAGTTGTTAATATGAAGGATTACACAAGTCAACTTGCAGGTTAATTATGGTGCAAATACACAGAACAATCCTATGCTTAGCCAACAGTAACATTGGCATGTTCTCTACAAGTTAATTACCAAGTCATGTATATTAGTTAGCGATAGTTTAAATAAAATGTTTAGTGATTTTAAAAGCTTTCACCGGGACTTAAACTTCAACAGTGCTGGTGCGGGGACTATGAGAACTAGGACGATGAGCCTTGTAAAATGCTGTTTGTTTGTGTTTGCAGGGATATACAATGCTGAATTTATAATGATGGGAGCACTGAGACAAGAGGTGGATTTCGTCGCATTCATGATGGAGAGCAGTGCAGCAGAATACTGATGAGACACCTGCGCTACAACATAGGACCTCCAACTGGTCTTTGTGCTAAAATAATGTGTATTCTCGTGCCTTCTATTCTGCATTTTCTCTTCTGAGTGTTGGATCGAGTAATTTAGAGTGAAAAATTATATATTTATATAAAATTAATTGGTATGTAAGTGTTTCCAAATTAGACAAAGATGAATTAAATAGCAGTTTGGCTTGATGTGCACGAAAGAGACGTTAGTGTGCAAGTTGATCCATCAATAAGAACCATGTGCAGAGAAAACACGCAGCATTCCAAATTCATGTTTATATTCTATAATCTTTTGTTAGGATCGCACAATGCACTTCTTCACAGGGCACCGTTACTATAACTGCTGTCGGAACTATGAACTGTTGGCTCTGTTTGTATTATATGTAAAAGGAAGGCTGTGCCATGTTCATGTATTGTACCTGACTGAAGGTCATTTACCACCGTTAAGCTGAGTATATAGAGCATGTAGTTGCTATTTTTTACCCACTACTGAAGTGTAAGCAACTGTCTAACCTTTTAATGTGTGCGTGTGTACAACTGCTATATACTTGTATGCAAGTATATAGTTTTCCCAAGCTAGTCTAGACGTTTTGAGTCTTTAGTAGTTTACGTAGTGCATTTTGCTAGTTGTGTGTAGAATTAGTGTGTCACTGTCGTCGTCAATGTACACTCTTAAACATGCATCTTGATCTGTCAGAGGTCAAAAGAATACTATGGTAACTACGTATATGAAAAATATGGAGGTATTGTTCCTCTAGATTAGCATAAGCCAAATTACTGTGCAATTAATATTTGTGTTTCACAAAATTACCTTAGTTAATCATTTTATAATGTCAAGGTCGAAACACTAATCTAAATTAGGATCGTGGTATGTATTGGAATTCTTTGGTGTAGTTTGTGAGAGGGTGCATGTAGCATCTACATAATTCCTCCCTCACAATAGGAAAATATATGCCTGACATCTACCTATCCTCTAGGAACTTTTGTATTTTGTTACTATATTATTATCTTCTTTTACGTATCTTTTACTATTGCACAGCTGCTCTTAGTACGAGTATAAGCATAAAATTGCATTGCAAACTAAATATATGACATTTTTATTCATAATAGCCAAAATGTGACGTTTTATAATGTGGTAATTAACAAGTAAACATGACAAAACAGAACCAAAACTAACCATGCAGTCAACACATCCATCCGAAGTATAACTTGACTTGAATCAACGTCGTGGTTTTATTCTGGTGACGTCACAGCAGTCGCTACGACCTAAGGAGCGTCACCCTGCTAGGAGCCCTCTAGCTGGCGCCACTGTTGATCACGACACACTGCTCGAAGGAGCCGGGAGCATTGACGGTGTGTGCAAGCACAGTCTTGCTTTCTCCCGTCTTCAGGTTCTTCATTGTGTGTGTCACATGCTGTTTGTCATCGTCGCCAGATGCCTCGATGCGCACAGTGTACTCGTTGCCTCTCTCTATCTCAAACACCTGCAGCGTACAGGTAAAGCTGTGATATCAGCATGTTTCCCTCTCTCACATGTCTATAATGACAGCAACATGTCAAACAGCATGATTTCATGTGCTTCTGGTAATCGTGTAATATAATTCCGTCTTTGTCAACATTATTTGATGGCATTTGTTTCACAAATATTCATTTTGATGGCTGGATGTTTAGTTTACAGTTGAATTGGTCTCGCACCTTATTAGCGGTTGTTTCCATTCGTTCTTCGTCTGCTTTCTCCAAGCAGCTGCCGGCGTTGATGATATCTTCCACTGTGAACAATACAACTCAACTAAAACCGCAAACAATGCCAACAGGACCCAAGCCTGAACAAATATATATGCATATATATATACAGCTAACTCTCAAAATTCTAAACCCCCCTCAAAACCGAATTTTAAACCAGACGATTGTTTAAGTCCCAACACCATCTGGGACATGTAAGATGCTCCAGCTATAAACCGAATTTCACACACAAAAAACTAAATGGATGACTTCCGAGTGCTGTCGGTATTGGGAGAGTTGACTGTAGTAACAAATATGACATGTGGTGTGACTCACAGTCATTTTCGTCCATGTCATTTTCGTCCATGTCATCGTATGCTGGAGGTTGCTCCATGCTAAGATCCAAGGTTTTTTCACCGTACTCGTCGTCCAGGTAAATGTCATGTGTTGGCAAGTTTCGTGGTGATATCTGAAAGTAACATGGTAAATAGCTCTGGAACTGATAGCATAGAGAAGGCCTAGTTCTGCACACATGCTCATATGCATGGTGCTTATGCTTAGTGTGGCTTTACAATAATCGAGTACGTGTATATGCCGATAAGCATACTTTTGCCTTTTAATTTACATAGCAATGACTGTATACGCCTCTACATTTCTTCTACGTACGTTCTAATAGTTTTCTAGACTCGTCACGATATGTCACCAAGTGTATACGTAACTAAACACTGCACAGTAGCAAGTATATAAAAGCAAGAGCAGTGCACACCAGATTATTGAGGTCAGCATCAATCCCATTCTGCTGCTGGAACTCCGGGTAACCATCTGGACACGTAGGCCGTATCCTTGCTTCTGCACCGCTCATCCCATTCGACATGATTTCATCACCATAGTCCTCTCTTTCCACGGAAGCGGGAAAGCCCTCAGTGTTCACAGAGGAATCCGCGCTGGTGGGGAGGTTGTCTGAGTGCTCTCTCTCCATGACATACTCGGAGAAGGTCACCTCCAGCTGTTTACCACGGCTGCTGTCAGAACTCGACGCTGTAGAGGGGGGAGGGATTGGGGGAGAAATCAGAGAAGTTAGGTGATAAGGTGTAGAATCAGAATCATAGAATCAGATATCTTTAATTTTAGCACAAGTGGACCTTGCTTAAGATTATTTATTTAAAATAAATTGTAGATGTATTATATTAGATACAATATTTTGTTATTGCAGCAAAAAGCTTTTATAACATCGGCAATATATCATAGGGGGGAACACTTTCAATGAATCTACATTGTAAAGCTTACACTGCACTACTGCCTATAAGAGATGTCTGCACTGGATGTGTGAGCTTTAAATGTGCCAGGTACTATACAAATGAGACTCATGAAAGACATCTACTATCTGAAGATAAATGTAATGCGTGATCTCGGACTCACTTGGCTGGCTGCCGTTGGTCCTCTCACCGACTGGCTTGAGCTTCAGGTTGCTGAAGCTGTCTCTGATTTCAGCAGTGACCTGGTCACGCATCGCCTTTGCGTAGTCTAGAAATGACTGTGGATCCTCGGCTGCATGATGACACCGATGTGAATACACTGATAAAGCACTGAAAAACGATTGCTTGCCTCGACTAAACACAGGGAGTGCTGTGCTTATTATCTTTTAATATTATCAGGAGTGAATAATAATAGATCTATTATTATTCACTCCTGATATTATCTATCTATATATATATATATTATATGCTATTTATCAAACCACACATTTGCATCATTAGGTGCAGCCCGGTATATGCAAATATCGTGCAGTTATATTACTGGCAACAAACAAAGGAAATACTTTAGCAGTGTATGCTTCACCTGACTCTGAACTAGGCTTGGCATTGTCAGTGCCACTGGATGACGTGTCGCTGGGTTGCTGCTGTATTGCAGGAGATCCCTGATGAGCTTCCACACTGACAGCTGCAATGAGTGTGCACATCTTCTTATCATCTTACATCCCTAGTTACGAGTTAATAATTTAATTACCTCAAAAAACCCTCACGTACTCAATAATTTCCATGGAAGAAATGACCCAGTAGAGAATTTCACACGCACTTTCATACTCATAGATATGTGGGGAATTGAAACTGTGTGGCCATCCTTTCACACATACCTAGTTATGTAAAGTGTAAGCACTGTTTGAACATCCTTTTCCATGAAAAGATGACCCAGTAGAGATTTTCGCATCCACTTTCATACACTCATACTTTCATACACTCGTATTTTTCATACACTCATACTTTCGTACACTCATACTTTCATACACTCATTCTTTTCATACACACTCTTTCATACACTCACACTTTCATACACTCATACTTTTCATACGCTCATACTTTCATACACTCATACTTTCATACACTCATATACTTTCATACACTCATATTTTCATACACTCATCGATATGTGGGGCATTGAAACTGTGTGACGACCCTTTCACACGTCCCTAGTTATGTAAAGTATAAGCACTGTTTGGACATTCTTATGCACTTCCCTATGTCGGAAAATTAGCACTGTGTGAACATTCTTTAATTACCATCTTCACAGACTGCACGTTGAGCCTACTACAAAAAACCACACACGGTGCGAGCTCGAGTAAACAAGTCTTATTTGGTTGCCACTGGTCCTACCATGCACGTATTATTTTAGGCAATAATTCGACCGTAGCCATAGATTCATGGTTCTTTCCAATTTCCCTGTTGGCTCTGATGATGGTGGTATGCTTACTGGAGACGAGATTAGGGTTGTGTTTTGTGTGATACTGACACTATTTCGTAATATCTCTCTTGTGGATTCTTTCTTCCCTTGTTGATCTCCCTCCCCTGTCTTCTCTCCCTTTGGATATGGTATATATAGCCATTGCCAATGCACGTTTTTACCTGCTAAGTTGCAGTTAACAGTTATCAATGGTCGCCATGCACGTTGCGATGACACTGGCTAGTTACGACATACGAGATCAGACACTCACCGCTGCAGTCAAGGTCAGTACTACCACTGCCATCACTTCGCGACGCCATCTGCTGCGTGGATACCTCTGGTGCCTGTGCCAAATACGCCTGCAATGCAAGCAATTCACCATGAAGGCTACTAATGTGGCAGGAGATATTATAAGGAGTGCATTATATAGATGCATACTCTATATTATGCACTCCTGATATTATATTACACTGATAATGGCCACAAAAGTGTATCTTTTTGAAACATATTCACATGTGGATTTCAAAGTTTCTATTATTTGCTTTTCATCGTAAGCATACATGAATATATTTTATATATGACATTAAATGAGTGGTTCAAGGTCTAAATCATTTGAGCCCTCAGTGGTGAATTACTTGAGCAGCTGTAATTGGACAGGCAATGACCTCACGCCACTTGTATCATAAAGCAAATATGTGGCTGGAAATTGCAGCCTGAAATGTCGGGAACTTTCAGCCATGAACCATAGGGGTGCATCTGGAGTTTTCCTGGTCCAAATGGAACAGATCCCACATATTTGTCTTCTACATGGCTTTTAGGTTGTGCATAGAAATTGTGAGCAAATGAGGAATCCAAGTCAGCTGCTTCATGTAACAAAAATTAATTTAATTAAAATAGAAATTTATAAACAATATATATCACACAAACATGAAACAACAAAAGCTAATTGGCACATTTACTGACAACAAAAATAAAAGTTTCCAACCTGGTAACGTTTTTAACTAACTCATAAATGCAAACAGGTGTGATAGAGAAATAAATTTGTGGCTTTCAAAATGAGGCCAAAACACTGACTGACAGTAATACCCATAATTGTGTATCAAATAAATACCTAAGCGTATTTTACTTGTTATACTTAAGAGGCATGCTCACTTAAAGGGCCAGACACACTAGGCGATTAAATCGAGCGACTAAATCGCCTAGTGTGTCCAGTCAGTCGCCGCCGATTTAGTCGCCCGATTGAATCGCGTAGATCAAAACGTTTTGACATTATCGGGCGATATTATCGGGCGATAAAATCGCGCGATAAAATCGCTTAGTGTGTCCACTCGACTCGCCCGATTAAATCACCTAGTGTGTCCGGCCCTTTAGGGCAAAGTAAACTAACATTAAGTGGGTGCAACCTGCAAAGTTGGTATTATTAAGACAAACTGAACAAATTCAACAAGCTTAGTTAACGTCACTTACGTAACATCATCTAATGCTGTCTACAAACATTCAGGTTTCTATCAATACACCTTCTTAGCTACCTTAACTATATAGTCTACTGATAAGTTTGCTATATCAAACATTAATGCAACTATACCTTGCACTCCCCCATATAGCAACTACCTTGCACATATATTTGCTACCTTGCGCATTATAGCAACTACCTTGCAACTACCTTGCACTCCCACTACTATACCCAACTATACTAGCCGGGTTGACGTCGCCTAACTAGATACTCGCTAGCTAAAATTATTATCAGACTTCCTAGTTGCCACGAGACGACAAGTAGCAATCATACTGGTCTGTTGGAGTCAACGCCTGCTGCACTATAGAGGGTCTTTAGCTGAGTGTCTGGCAGATCGCTGTCGAGCCGCTGTGAGTTCATGCTGGACTGTGACAGGTGTGACCTCAGATAAGTGTAGCTCTTCTGACTTGCTTCAATCTCCTGCAACGCAACAATAATTATAACTGTGGATGATTCACACGTAATAATTCTTCTGCAATAATAACTAGTTATTCACATTTAGTTAATCACATTATATATATATATATATATATAATGATTGCATGATACATATGAATACAATAATACATATATATGATTGCAGATATAATATGTTGGTTTGTAGTTATACATAATATAATATAATGGTTGTTTTAGAGTTATCAGGCACATTATAGGTATATAGCTAGAATTATACTGCAATACACATAATATTTCAAACAGAGTTGAGTCCTGGGTTAGCACTACCATGTGATGGTCTACTGGATTAGCCTTCAGGTGGGCTTCAACAAAGATACCTGATACTATTTTACCAATCAACAACTAATGTTGACTTCTGTTAGTCTGCTCAGGTTCTAACGTTTACTATATTTCAAATGATGTCGAGCTAGGATGCTCTCACTTATACCGTTCCCTGCTCATCAGCAGTTGAGATTAGATCTGAATGGAGGCATGTATGGGACATTCTCATGCTAGGTGGGAGCATAGTGAATCCCCAGTAACCTAACATCATAGACACATCGGCCCCTTTAATGTGTAACGACAGGCAGATTACTGCTTTTACTTATCACGGAATCTTTATAATGCAAAAAGGTTTGGTTTCTGACTTCCCAGTAAAATCATATTGAGACAAGTCGAAAGACAGTAAAGTTCGCTGCTGAAGGATGATAAGCTATTATTAGTGTCAACCAGCTGTTTCAATCCAGGTATCCGACATACAGACACAGTTAGGTAGTTGCCGTACCTCTTTCTCTATGTCGTGATAAGCTGAGATGAGATTCCTCACACTTCCTTTGCCTCCAAACCATTTCTCTTTTATTGCTTCCCTCGTGGGGTTTTCGGGCAGCTCACTATAGCTGGCATCAATGTGGGGGCTGTAAAATAATCCAAGCCATATACTCAGCAGTACAATCCCATCATTATCTTAGAACTATGACATTGATACTACTATATATATTAATATATATATATATGCATATGTGATACATAAGAGACTGCTGGGATTTAGTGAAATAAACAGATCATGAACATGGCTACATAATTTATATGTATTGAAGAAACATAGCAGAGATATATTCTAAGACGTACGCTTTGTACATCACTGCATCTCTAATGTCGTCTGGTAGTCTCGAGTAGCTTGTATGGTGTGTACTCTGCTTGCTGCCAACGCTCACTTCACATCCATGTCCTGCTGGCTTCATCCCTGCATCAAGAGAGAAACATGAGTGATAATAACCAAGGCATGTGTATCCTAAAGCAGTTTGTTCACCTCGCACTTCACAAGCACTCAAGACTTGCTGACAACAATAGTTGTACGGTGGTCGTAAATAATGTAACTTGTTTACTATGGAAAATGAAAGTATACTGGATTAGAAGGGATTTCGAATTCTGTCAAGTTAAGTGCAGTTATTATGGCACAGAAGTATTACCGTAATACATTGCATTGTAATACTGACTATTGGCATAAATGTGGTATGAATTATAACATATGAAATATGAGAATGAATATGAAAGGAGAATATGAAATGCAATGAAATATAAGAACGAAGCTCCAGTCCAGTTCGAGCTCAGTACACACCGACGCAATAGTTGGGAATCGCCAGGCTCCCCACGCTGCCTCTGCTGCTGTAGCTAGCAAAGCTGGTGTTCTGTCCATATCCTGCACTGCTACGTCTGCTCCCATAGCTTCCCTGTTTGGCGTGACCCGCGGGCGGCCGGTGCATTACAGGGTCATCCTGGAGGCTATTGCTCCTATTCCTACAGCATTAACAGTAATAATGCCATAAATGCGCATATTTTTCTGTATGTGTACAGAAGCGCATACATATACATGTATGATATACTCGACAATTTTACTCAACAAAGTGTAACGCACACACAAATCAGATAATCTCCTCTATTGTGCCATCTGGTGTGTTTACTGTTTTTTGTGGCCTGTTTATTGGAGTACAGCGATATATATATTGTTTTATAAGTAAGCTGCCGAATGTTTTAAGTGAATAAATCACTCACCATCTCTCTCTGTTGCTGCCCATGCTCTTTGGGCCGTCACCAGGTGCACTACCATTCTGAGGGGCTGTTCCATATTTAACTATAAATAAATGCAACTCATTGTATGAAGTGAATGCGTGACAAAGGAGACCTATGTCTGTATAGACTACTACAAATGAACATGCTACGCAATGCCATGGATAGAACCTACGAGTTATCGTGAGTGAATAGGATGTAGGAAGAACTGTGGATATGTCGTATGAGAATTGCATTATAAATGTGTGGCAAATGTTATCGACCATCCTTCACTTCCTGATATACGTGAGAATGACCTTTCCTGTATGGCTTGGGAAATATCCTTAGTAAATAATAAAGGCACCTGGAGATATGGATTTGTAGCCTCTATGGGAACTGACGATGCCGATCAGTTTAGGGTCAACAAGAGGTCGCTCTCTGCTATGGCCGGCTGGATAGCATGCCGCCCCACTCTCTTCATGCCTGTTCAAAGCCACAATGTGCAATAACGTCACCTAGGGTGTCTGCAGCAGATTCAGATGCAATGTAAACTCCAAGAAAATGTCATCACTACTCTCCTAAGCTAATTAATCTTCTCACAATTCTAACAAAGTCATAGACCGTACCTATATTCAGCTTTTGGTCCCCACTTCGTGTTGTATACCGTGTCGGAAGGTGCATCCTCACTGAAGCTACTATAGCAAAACAGTACATCCACCAACAAGAGCAATAGGAGATAGCAAACCTCCGCCACAGTGTAACAGTCCCCCCATCTTGCTGGTACACCCAATATAGAATTTTCAGAAATTTTCAGAAATTTGAACAAACAAAAATTCAGGATTTTTTTTAATGAATTTTGAATGCGTCCAAAGTCTTCCCCCCCCCCAAAAAAATTTCTTGGATCCAGATCTGAATCCGGATCCCCACCAAAATCTAATTGATTGGTTCTTGGCCCAAGACCAACCCATCCAAAAAAAATCATCAAAATCTGTCCGTAACTTTTTGAGATATCCTGTTGACAGACAAACCAACCAACAAACAAACTAACAGGGGCGAAAACATAACCTCCTTGGCAGAGGTAATAACAGTTTGCTTTGTCACATCAGGTATTGACCTGTTTATAGGGGTAGATTCAGGGACCCCTTCAACAACACATGTTTTCAGCAAGTTGTTTTGTTGAACTTCTTTACATAAGCGGCTAGATATTGTTCTACGTGGAAAAGGGAGTATATACGTTGGGCACCAGTAATATATATATATATCATATATATATATATATATCATGTTGTATATGACAAATAATTGGTAGAAAGTAACAGGCAATGACCGACCAATTCCCTCTATTACAACTATCTCTCAGTTTTTATATATATAATATATATATATATATATATATTATATATATATATATATATATACACAACCATACACACACTCATATGCAATTTCTTCCCTCACACATGGTATCACAGTTACCTGTCGTGTGTAGATTTCATGCTGCTATCTAGCGTTGCTGGTGTCCCGTACTGTTTCCCACCACTGTATGTCGGTCCTTGCGTATTGACATCATCCATAGACTTGTCATCATCAGAGTCTTCACCTGATGTCAACCCCGTCCTTCCGGTCATGAGCTTCCTAATTGGCGATGAAGTATAGAGTAGAATTACATAGTAACATTACATATAGTACATTAGCATACATTAGTACCTTAGTATATTGCAGAATATTATTGATACTAGTAAATTAGCATATATATTCAAGATATGTTACAAGTATATTATAGTATAACCCCTTTCAGAGTCGGTGTTACTTTAATGTCATCATGTTGCACTATCACGCCTACTCACTCACGTCCCATCATGTGCCCCCTTTGTAAAAGTGTACACTTTTATGTGTCCAGCATTGATATACCTGTTCACTTCTAAAATCTATCTGTTACACTAGCTAGTACAACGTGTCAATATGATTTCTCCTCTATCTGTTCCCTTCCATGACCCACGTACACTAGCACAGATGGCAGTATGATTTCTCCTCTACCTGTTCCCTCCCATGACCCACGTACACTAGCATAGATGGCAGTATGATTTCTCCTCTACCTGTTCCCTCCCATGACCCACGTACACTACCACAGAGGGCAGTCTGAATTCTCATCTACATGTTCCTTTCAGGACTGTCACACAGGGCCAGGATGGCCCAAGCCCACGGTCGATTCGGTTTGGGACCCAGTTCTATACTAGCATACTGAGACTCGCCTGCGTAACGATGTCAGCATACCTGATTGCAATTCTCCTCGTACTCATGTTTCTGGCAGGAGACGGTGGTTTCTGGAGCGATGCCTCTTGCAACTGATTCTCGTTCATCTCCTGGAACCTTACATCATACATAGAACACGTACATTAGCTGTTAACGACATACTGCAACTAAAGTGATAGACAGAATTGCATTAATTCTTGCATTTTTTATCTTTGAAGATGGTTATAACACAATAAGAGTGTATAAATTACACAGCCTAACTTTAAGTTTTTAACAGTTAGTTTTACTCTCATTGTTTTGCATTCTAGTCTGCCCTGGCACAAATTAATGCACATTCCAAATTATTTGTATTTGTTTGTTGTGTTGTAAAAATTTTATTTTGTGTGATATCCCATTATTATGCATATATATTTGAAACAATATTATATGTGGAACGTTCTCCATCAATCCATGAATTGGGATTGAAAAACTTAAAATGCTTCCAATAATCCATTTCATCATCATATTAATGAAACTTCACAAGAAATACTCAAATGCATTCTGCCTTAAAAAAATTATGAAAAGTAGCTATGCAAACGTAATTACAACAAGAGACTGCACTACCTGCCACTGTAGCTTGTGTTCGTCAAGGGAGACACCAGCTTGCTGCGACTGATTTTCCTCTCATAGCTGCCACCCAGTGTGTCATTGAGGGGCTTTAGTGAGAACTTTGATGACTTACGTGAGTTCTAAAAGAAAACCAGTGTCATGATGCAGGGTGATATGGGTAGGGGCAAGTAGGCACATGGAGCCGGGATCAATCTCCAGTCATGTTGTGTGAATGAGCAGCTTTGGGGAGCATTTGGGGAGGGGGCCAACATCTAAGGGTAATGTGGGTAGATGCAGCTAGCTAGGCACACAGAGTGGGGACCAACTTCCAAGAGTGATGGAGGTATAGGCCGGGGCAGGCATGAGGGGTACGGATCAGCTTCTATCACTCTTACAACTCCCCACACCACATCCACCCTTCCATCAGCGACAGTCTCTCACTAAAATGCCACGCACAAAACTTTCCCATGCCAACTCTGCCACCACCTCCAAGTTGTAGAACTGACCTACGTACATTATGTACCACATAGAACCTGCTGCTAATCCACATACTACTGCTACTGGCAATCCCTCTACTGCATGACTCCATACTGACCCTAACACCAGCGCAATCACATGAGAAACAGTGGTGATACTTACAGAAGACCTTAGTGAGACAAGTAGCAGCTCTCTGAGGTCATCGAAGGACACACTTCTGTCGTAGGAAGCCAGTTGTAGGCCGCGCTCCAGTACATCATGTAACAACTGTGGCACCTGGTTAAGACAAAATAAATAAATGGCTAAGATAAATGGAAATTACCTGATTTACACATGCATATATATATATATATATATTAGTCATCTTCCACCTGAGTCACATGTGTTACAAATCTTCTAATTAGAGTTATACCAACCTTACAAGAAGCATGCTTTCCCACAGGCCAACAAGCCAACAAGCCATGCGTAGAACATGAGTAAAAACCTTCAGGGCACATAAAAAGTATCCGTGCAAAATCTTGTGACAATCCAATAAAAAAACCGAGGATATTGTAAGAAATTCGTATAGTCACGCTATAGTTTCACGCTGACCTTGTTATTTGACAGAGGAAGAGTTTTGCCCTGCTTGGTGATCACTTGTTTAATCTCAGATGCACTCCTTTCTGGCCATGGCATCATACCTGCAATGCAAATTACCAACAAATGGCATCGCTGTCATTACTGCACAAAAACTCAAACATTACACGGACCCACTAGTATTCTTGAGTTTAACCAAATAGTTGTGTACGTAATACGTAATACATTCTTGTATAGTTTGGCACTACTTGACGTCTCTTTGAAAATGAAATGCAGTACATGCACTACTGAAGTAAAGAGGAAAAACAGTATCCCACATACTATACACAACATACGACATACTGGTACAGCGTCTATTTAAATACAAGACAAGAAACCGAGGAGTTCCAGCTGAATGCATATCAAACATAATCTCCTGTGTGTTATATGCTCACCATTCAGCATCTCCCACAGTACACTACAGAAGCTGTATACATCAGCCATCTCAGTAGCTGGCTCAGCATTCATGAGCTCTGGTGCCAACCAGTTGTAGACGGCACACTCGTGCATGTTGGTGTGCGCACCACTCGTGTTTCCCCTAAATATACAAACGCAATCCTTAACTCCAGTGTCACCCGAACTGGGTATTGGTTGGTGGTGATACAGATCATGCGGGGAATTGGGGGATGAATAGACCAGTGTAGACAAATTAAGTAGTTATGCTATAATACATGTATTATTCGCTCTTGATGCTATACATATTTGTATCTACAATATATAATAATTAACATTTGTTTAAACAATAAATAAAAGCATAACAATTAATATAATAACATAGAAGGTGGGCACAAGCTCGTTTTTATTACTATGAGAATTTTCAATCAAGCTACATAAAACACAAGCTGACACGAGGTGGGCACAAGATTGTTCTTATTACTATGAGAATTTTCAATCAATCAAGCCACGTGAAACACACCTCGGCACCATGTACTCAAAGTTGGCCAATTTTGCAGCGTAAGGGGTGACGAGGTGAATGCTGTTCGAGCTGACTGCACAGTGCACCAGCTGCTGCTCATGAATGTAGATGAGAGCTTCGCACACCTGCAGCATCACTTCTGCCGTGTTACGCACCGTCGGTGCCTCCATCTGTCAAGAGGAAACATCACCATACATAGCAACGCACACGTGCTTCTGGTCGATTATGGATTTTTGCTATTTTAAGTAGAATATGCATACTGTGATTCGATTAGTTGATTAATTGATTGTGATTCGAAGCAGGTCCATGTGCTTCGAATCGATTATGGATTGATCCTATTTTAAGTAGATCATGCATATTGTGATTTGATTAGTTGATTAATTGATTGTGATTCGAAGCAGGTACACGTGCTTCGAATCGATTATGGATTCATCCTATTTTAAGTAGATCATATAATATTGTGATTTGATTAGTTGATTAATTGATTGTGATTCGAATCAGGTACACGTGCTTCACATCGATTATGGATTCATCCTATTTTAAGTAGATCATATAATATTGTGATTCGATTGACTGATTGATTGATTGATTGTGACTTCTT